AATTTGGGTCATTCAAATGATTCAATCAATGATAATGAAAGATCCTCAAAAAAAAAATAAAGAGCAATCATGATAATCAACAACGAATTGACGAACATTATGATTCACTTAAAATAGCTAATTCAAAAGTACAAATGGCCAATCAGGCTCTTATAAAATTATTTGTTTGTTGTGGAATACCATTTCATTTAGTACAACATCCATTCTTCGTAGATTTTATTAAGATATTATGCCCGACATATTCACTTCCTTTACGGCAACAATTGTCTGCAGATATGCTTAATTTGGAAATATCACATATCCAAATAAAAATCAATGGGATACTTGAAAATGAAACTTGTTTGACGTTGGGTATTTATATTTAATATATAAATTATTATTTAAATAATATTAAAAAAATTACTTAATATTTAATATTTAATTTTATATAATAATAAAGGGTTAGATAGTTGGACGTCACCAGTAGGACAATCATTCTACGCATTCATCATTTTCACTAAAAGCGGAAAAGAATTTATTCATTCAATTCAAAATCTTTCTAAAGAATCGCATACCAGCCAATATATTGCCAAAAAAATAATTGAAGTAATTGAATCAGTGGGCGCAGGGAAATTTTCTGCGGTTGTATTTGACAATGCATCTTCTATGGTTAAAGCAAAAAAGCTCGTTAATGAAAAATATGAAAATATAATGCCAATTCGTTGCATTGATCATCAAATTAATTTAATTACCACTGATATATGTAAATTGCCTTTCGCAGAAGATCTTTTAAAAAAATGCATGAAGATTGTCAGATTCTTTAAAACTTCTCACAAAGCTGGAGAGACTTTGCGTACAGAAATATTGGAAAATATGGTAAAAGGCGGAGGGTTGAAATCATATGTGAAAACACGTTAGTCTACAGCGTTTGATTGTGCAAATTCTATTTTATCTTGTGAAACCATTTTAAAAAATGTAAGTATTAAGTACTAATTTTACTTTATCAAATAAATTAATTTATTTATTTTTATTATTTATTAATTATTACTAATTTTAATGTATTATAATGAACAGATTGCAGTACAAGATGCTGATACGTTAAACAATGATATTAAAAAAATTATTTCTAATCGGCATTTTTATGTTGATTTAGAAGAATTGGTATCAATTATTGAACCAATTAAAAAAGCATTAAAATGTCTTGAATTCAAATCTACCACCTTGGCCGATTGTTTTATTGAAATAATTAAGCTTTATGCTGCTATTAAAGATTTACCTGAAACACGTCAAGTATCATTTCATAAAGAATGCATTGAAATTTTTAATAAGCGTTGGAAGCAATTTGATATTGAATTATATGTGCTTGCATTTATATTACATCCAAAATATCGTGGCAATTAAATTTTTTTTTTTTAATGAATTGATTTTTTTTAAAAAATGGTTTAATAATAAACTAATCTACTTTTTTTAACTATTTATATTTTATTTATATTAAAGTGAAGGAATGAAAACAAGCACTTTTCGCAAAGTAATTGAATATGGCATTCGAGAAATATGGCTCAAAATGGGTGGAGGAAAAAATTTTAGTCAGATTTTGATCGGTCAGTTTTCAAATTACAGAAATAGAAAAGCTCCATATGATCATCAATTTATTGATGAAATATATACAGTTCAAAGTTGGTGGAGTATGACATATGAAGAAAATGATGAAAAAAATTACATTCAAGATTTAGCTTTTAAAATTTTTTCAATAAGGCCGCATAATGCTGGTTGTGAACGAATTTTTTCAGTATTAGGATGGATGATGAATAAACGAAGAACCAGGTAGCAAATCATAATTTTGAATTATATAAATTCCATATAACTAATAATTAATAATTTAATAATTTTAAAGATTAGGAATTGATCGTATACAAAATATGGCAAAATTACATGCCTATTATATTACCAATGCAAAAGCAGAATTAAAATATGTATACCAAGATTTGCAAGAAGAAAAATTTTATGAGGAAATTGAAAAAAATTTATCTGAACATCTTGCTGATGATGATACTATTGAAGTAGAAGAAGAATTTGGAGATGAGGATTCAGATGTAAGTGAAGTTGAAGATGAAAACGATATAAATAATAATAATAATGGAATTGATGAATACTTAAATTTGGCATCTGAAGAGTTACGTCAACTTCTTGAAGTACAAGTTGTAGAAGTACGTATTGAAAACAACCAGTTGATCATGGAGAAAAGGATTTTGATATAAATGCATTATTACAAGAAGAATTTGATCAAAATTAAATTAGTATTTTTGTAATATCATAAATGATTTTTTCTTTAATAAAAAATAAAGTTCAGTTTAATATAATTTTGTTATAACTATGAATTTTACAGTATTTATCATAATATTATAACTTTTTTAAGTAATAATTAATAAATATATAGTTATACAGGTGTAAATATTTTATGAACATTTTAATTATTTATAAAAATTAAAAAAATGTTTTGAATACTTTTATTACTTTATAATCAATACCTCGTAATTAATTAACCCGTAATTAATTAAGTAACCCGTAATTAATTAAGTAACCCGTAATTAATTAAGTGACCCGTAATTAATTAAGTGACCCGTAATTAATTAAGTGACCCGTAATTAATTAAGTGACCCGTAATTAATTAAGTGACCCGTAATTAATTAAGTAACCCGTAATTAATTAAGTAATCCGTAACTAATTAAGTAATCCGTAATTATATTTACGTAACGTAATTTCGGAATACGAAATTTTAAAAACAATTACTGATACAACTATAGTACTGATAGCTAAGAAATTTTGCTGGGCGAAATTATCTTAATTCTGGTCAAATTAATGTGTAACCTTAAAAAAATTTTTGCCTTTTTTATAGTTATAAGGTGGTACAAAATGTACGTTAGTGCAATCCTTGCTGTTAAGTTTATGATTTCAAAACTTTACTCATCTTTAAGATGGGAATGTAGGATCAAAGATTTTTTAGTAACATCTCTTTTGATTTTTCAGGAAAAGTGATTTTTCAAAATATACTGGCATGGAAGCTTTGGAGCATAGTACATGTTGTTAATGGTTTGGAACATTTTGTTCCAGTTGGTTCGATTCCAACAAACAACTATTCAAAATTTCAATACCTCAATATATAATAATGAAATACTGTACATATAAAAATTAATGTAAAATCGTTGTGGCATCGGAAATACTGTATATGTGAATTTCAGATCGCTGATATTCTAATTTAGGTATATAATCGGAAATTCGATCCTTCAAAAGTATCAGTTTACCGATGTTGTCCAGAATCTAGGCATTACCGTACCGCACTGCCTAAAATACCCCGGGTCTAAAACAAAATATTTGGTTTACCATCCTGAAAGTACTAGAAGGATTTAAGATGTGAAATTTTAAATTTGATTTATAATAGCCATCAAATATGACGATTCTTGGGCATCATTTCCTACAATAGTCATTCATAGTGCTAGCGGCGGTGGTACCTCCTATTCATGGTACTTTCCAATAGCATTTCACACATTTCTTTTCTTGGGTCATTTCTCCTTGGAAATATCTCCAAAATAGGCATATCCATTACAACTATATCACAGATCGAATGATGGTATGTCAGTGGAGAATCACAAACCCGATTCTTCACTGATTCTTTATACTGTAGATTGTACTATTATAATAGCCTGATGATCATTACCTATTCTCCACCAATTACCGTACCGCACTGCCTAAGATACCCCCTTTGAGAGTATCCCCCACTTAAAATATCCGTATCAATATACCAAGTTTGTAATATGTAGACTCATTTGGCTTCATTACACTCATCCACTACGAAATCCCGAAAACTTAAAACCCAATGAGACATAATCCCGACCTATATGGTAGCTATACGTATTAAATGATATTTATTTTCAATTTTTTTTCTCATTTTAAATCTTTGCTTTTGGAAAATTTTTATTTTTTACTTGGTTTAAAAATGTAACGCTCTTAACAATTAATTAATCATTGATCCAAGATCGGCATACAGTATTAAAAAAATCGGGGGTGAAATTTAGCGTTTAATAATAGATACACAAAAACAAAACCTTATTTAAAACACGTCATATATGCAAAAAAACCTGAATAAGCTAAAAAAAAAATTGCATGTAAACTATTTATTAGTTTACATTGTAAGCGTGTCAAATATGCTGATTAGTATGCAATAAAATTATTAAAACTTATTTATATGGCATAAAATGCATAACACATATGCAAGAAACATAAGAAAATAGAATAAGCGCATATTTGTTATGATAAAATGGGAGTTTAAAAATTCCGGATTGGCAAGTGAAAATTCTTTTTGACTTTTTTTTTTAGTAATAAGGCAGGTTGTTATCAAGAAAATGTTAGTACTGTAGATGTGGTATTATAGATATAGACAGTAAATAATTGATAAGCAGTCTCGATTTTTTTTTCTTGCAATATATATTGTTGAAATTCTGTCGATCATGTTATGATTTGCGAAGTTTTATGAAGACAGAATAGTTTGTTTTAGAAGAAAGGGCATATCTTTACAGATTCGTATAATTTTTTATTAATACTACTTCGTAACCTCTACTCTAGTTGTAAAACAAGTTTGCATTTAAAATTTGATGTTCTTACGAAACGATTGCCAACCTTAAAATGAATATGAATTTAGCTAGCTTAAATTATATGTAAATATTTTATTACAAATATAATAAAATTAAATAAATAACTTATATAACTTATAACTTACCATAGAAATAAATTTTATAACCAAAATACTGTGTAATATTTATTAATTAATGAAATTTCGAAATTAAGCATGTTTGGTTCTATTATTCTATTATGATCCTGGCCAAAAAAAGTTGGAAGATATACAGGGAATATTGATTAAAGATCGCCGTCGTACATACGGTACTACAGTGTACTATATAAATACCGATTCCTCGAATTGGAATCTTCAATAAAAAAAAAACTTTTTTTTTTTTTTTCCTCCAGAAATGACGAGAGGTTGTGGATGTCCATTAGAACAAGATTTAAGATTTTTAATAAATAACCCAAAGTATAGTGATATAGAAATTTTATGCGAAGATGAAAAGAAACTATATGGTTGTAGAGCAATTTTGGCCGCGAGGTCTGAAATGTTTGACAAATTACTTTATAATGGGATGAAAGAAACCTATGAAAATCGAATTTCTTTTCCAAAAATTAGCTCTTCTGGAATGGAGATTGTATTAGAATTTATTTATACGGGATCAATTGAAGAAAGAACTTTAACAGAAGATAATATAATTGAAGTGTTTTACGCTGCAGATTATCTTCAAATAACAGATCTTCAAAAATATATTGTAAAAATTGTTAATAATACTTTCGAAACAGAAAATTATTTTCCGGAATTATTATCTAAAATTGCGGGAATGATGCCATTAGCGGAAGATAATGCACTTCTTGATTTATTGATTGAAATGGTAGCAATTATTCCATTAAATACTATTGAATTTAGTCGATTATCTATTGCAGGACTTCAATATCTTTTATCATATACACATGAAAAAGAAAAACCCTTTGTAACTCCAGAATACGAAGTTTTTCGATATAGTGCTATTTTAGCAGCAAAACAAGTTTCTAATGATGCTTTTATAACTATTATGGAGCGGTTACCAACATTGGAGCGGGTGGAGAATTTATTCCAAACAGAAAATAAATTTATTACTGATAATCAAAAAATTACTAAAGAATTGGAACCTTTAGTTAAATACATTGATTTTAATCAAATTAAAGGAAACATTTTGACTGATATTATTGAACCATTAGAAATAGTCTCGCCTAAAATAATACTAGATGCTTATCGACAAAAAGCAAGATCACACAAGACAGATTTAAACGGAATTCGAGGAGTACACATTAATGAGTCTAATTACACTTGGGATGAGTCATGTGATTCAAGCCTTTTTATTGAAGAAAATGGAAAACTTGTTAGTGCGAAAAGTAATTGTAATCTCCAAACATGTGTTAAAGCTAACTTAACATTAGAAAATCAAGGTATTTTTGAATGGGATGTTATTATTGAAAAATTGTGTGAATATGCTTGGATTGGAGTTTGTGCGCCAGAAAATTTTAATTGCCTAGCCTTTGCAGGGTATCAAACTACTGGATGGGTACTAGGTTCTAATGGTTTATGTTGGAATTCTCGTAAAGAAATTCGTTATTGTCTTCCGTTTGGAGAAGGAACGAGAATTACTGTTCATTTAGATATGAATAAAAGAACTTGCGCTTTTACAGTCAATGGTATAAGGTATCCTGAAGTATCTACGTGGAATAATTTACCATCAAAGCTTTATCCAGTAGCAGGATTAATATATCCTGGTCGCTTTCGGATTCAATCTTATAGAAAAGTTTGATTTTTGATTTATAGTATATGGAGTACAGTGTAATAGATTGGCATATCATTAAGTCTATTTTTTTGGCTTATAAATATAGTATATATAGTGATATAGAAATAGTGAAGTCGATTATTGTACAAATGTATTATTAAAGTTTATGCTGTAAAGTAAGTTGTAATATTTGCAAAATTTGTAATTTTAAAAGTTTGTTATATAATGTATCCAATAAATTATTATTATATCCTACCTTATTTATTTATTTTTAAGAATAATATTTAGTGTAAAGTAATTATTTGGACATCTTAAATCCTTACAGCTAATTGCAAAAGAATGGACCACCCAATTTATTTTCGTTTCGAAGCTTCACACGCATGACTGATCGGCATAATTTATAATTCTGGCCAGAATTTAGTTTTTTTTTGGCTTTCGCAAAAAAATGGAAATGATCGACATTCCCGTATGTGTTAAAATTATAACTTGGCCGGCAATCAATTATGATCATGTGCGCCGGTATGACTGTGTATGACTTCGGAGTAAAAATGACGTTTTTTTTGCAATAACTGTAAAAATGACGCGACCTTGAGAAAATGAATATTGTTACCTCTTTTATAGAGTAAGTTAGAATATGGTAAATTTAAATTCTCCGGCGGCTCGACCACGTAAATTTTTAAGTCTCCCGTCACTTCACACTTTGCGTCGGCATCGCCTAAAGGTGAAGGCAAAGACAATTTTGATATTGTGTCTTTCAACTCTGAATTTTCTGCTCAAAGGGAATCTATGACAGGTTCTTCACTCATATTTGTAAGCGACATATAGGCTTGCTCTAATAAAAAAAAACAGTTCACAAAACAAAACGTCCACATCTAGTACTAAAGTGGTAAGAAAGTTGAATACGGATTATTGCATTTTTTTTTGACCCACCAATGACCCGTCAAAAACAGATACATGAATATTTTGAACGAAGAGACTCCTTGGTGAGTACAATGTCGAACCATTTAGACGAAAGGTAAATTGCTACCTTTCCTTCCTTGAGAATATCGCAAATACAGAAGAAGGTCGAAGGTCGAAGACAGAAAAAAGCACAACAATTACTTAATAATTACAGGCAGGCAAGTATTTACTTATTTACTTTCTGCGTAAAAAAGAAGAATAAGTGGCATGAGGACCCTTCGAGCTTGTCTGTGTTCAAGTCTTTCAAGCCGACCCGCCAGAACACAGATTTGTCTGATGTTCAGTCGTTCAGTCTCGATCCTGCCTGGCGGGATGGAATCAAGCGAAATTCTGTATTCAATACTTTCAAGCCGACCTGACACTAGCCCCTCCAGAACACAGATGACCCATCGGGCTTGTCTGATGTTAAGCTTCGAGGCAACCGTGGACACAGATGACCCATCGAGCTTGTCTGATGTTCAGTCTCGATCCTGCCTGGCGGGACGGAATCAAGCGAAATTCTGTATTCAATACTTTCAAGCCGACCTGACACTAGCCCCTCCAGAACACAGATGACCCATCGAGCTTGTCTGATGTTAAGCTTCGAGGCAACCGTGAACACAGATGACCCATCGAGCTTGTCTGATGTTCAGTCTCGATCCTGCCTGGCGGGATGGAATCAAGCGAAATTCTGTATTCAATACTTTCAAGCCGATCTGACACTAGCCCCTCCAGAACACAGATGACCCATCGAGCTTGTCTGATGTTAAGCTTCGAGGCAACCGTGAACACAGATGACCCATCGAGCTTATCTGATGTTCAGTCTCGATCCTGCCTGGCGGGATGGATTCAAGCGAAATAAATGAATATGATATTTAAGAATAATAGTAACTTTCTAAATTTTTCTTTGAGGGAGCATAAACCGGCCGACATTTATCAACCGATACTCACAAATGGAGGGAATAACGTTAATATAAGCGGAACTACCGCCAGAACACAGATGACCCATCGAGCTTATCTGATGTTCAGTCTCGATCCTGCCTGGCGGGATGGAATCAAGACCTTTCTAAATTTTTCTTTGAGGGAGCATAAACCGGCCGACATTTATCAACCGATACTCAAGAGTGGAGGGAATAACATTATTATAAACGGAACTACTGACGGTGGAACTTTCAATTCCGGACCATCTGAAAAAAAAAGAGATCGGTATGTTCTTCTATCAACGTTTCTCATTCTTTGATTTTTTCCAATTCGTAATTTCTAAATAATTCTTATTATAGCAGCTTGGAGTGTAGGATAACTTTAGAGCGAAGACCACTTTTTTATCTAACAGTTCATAAGTAATCAAACTTTGTTTAAAAAATTATTGAAAAAGGCGAAGAATAAATTTTGAAAAATTACTAGATTCTATTTTCATATTAGCCACAATTGTAATCTTTTTGTAGATAATATTTTCGCTTTCGTTCTCAGTATTTACGTGAAAGATTGTAGAAATACTAAGATAAATAAAAAAAAGTTGCGTCAAAGAACATATTGTATACGATATTTAAATTTTTAAAGATTTATTCAGATACAAATTAAAATTAATCATAACAATTAATATATTTGTTCCTTTACATTCTTCTAATTTTATACAACTGAAGAAGTAAGAGATTTTTATATTGTCTTTTCACTTTAAAGTCCAATTCTGTCATTAGTATAATTGGTATTAGAACATATGTCACATCTATGCTTGAATGTATTTAATAAGAATCCTACTCTTGATGGTTTGCTTCATTCAAAGTCGCATAATATACGAAAAATTAAGATTATGTATTTAATATATAAAGGATATTTCACAATTCCTTAATTGTTTAATTATATAACGAATATAATGTCATATAAAGTTTTTGGTATTAAAACAAGTAGCTATTTTTAAACTGAACCGATAGTTGTGGTTAGTCACAACAAATAACCCAATCTTTTTTTTTTTTTTTTTAAATTATTACATCTAACTTTTGATGGGATTGAATTCGAAAACGACCAGGATAACATAATGATGCTACAGGATAAAACTTTGATGGTAAATTATTATTACAATTTAATACTTCGGGATATCTTGTACCATCGACTGTGAAAGCGCAAGTTTTTTTATTCATATCTAAATGAACAGTAATTCTCGTGCCATCACCCAATGAAGGACAATAATCTTCTAAATAATTTCCAGAATTATAGTAACGACCTTCAGAACTCAATGCCCATCCAATAGGTTCATCATTATTAAAACTTCCTGGTGCACATACTCCAACCCAAAACCATTTACAAGCTTTCTCAATTATAAAATCCCATTCAAAAATACCTTTACTATCAATTAAAATTTTAGCTCTAACACCTTGATGTGTATGACAATCGTTTGATGCACTTACAACTTTTCCATTTTCTTCAATAAAAAGTTTTGATCCGCATGCTAACTCATCCCAAAACTGTGTTCCTCGAATTTCATTAAAATCCGTATTATGTGATCTTGCTTTTTGTCGATAAGCATCTAATATTGTCTTAGCTGGAATAATTCCTAATGGTTCGATAATATCTGTCAAAATTTTTCCTTTAATTTGATTAAAATCAATGAAATCAATTAAAGGTTCTAATTCTTTAGTAACTTTACAGTGATCGGTAATAGGTTCATTTTCTACTTGGATTGAATTCTTTATTTGTTCCAAAGTTGGTAAACATTTCATAAGAGTTTTAAAAGCATCATTAGATACTTGTTTTGCTGCTAGAATAGCACTATATCGAAAAACTTCATATTCAGGAGTTGCAAAGGACTTTGCTTTTTTATGTGTAAATGATAAAAGACATTGAAGTCCGGCGATAGATAATCGATCAAATTCAATTGTATTTAAAGGAATAGTTGCTACTTTTTCAACCAATAAATTTTGAAGAATATTATCTTCTATAAATGGCATTATTTCTACAATATTAGATAATAATTCCGGTGAATAATTTTCTGATTCCAGTGTATTATTAACAACTCTTACAATATTTTCTTGAAGATCAGTTAATTGAAAAAAATCTGCAGCATAAAATGCTTCAATTATATTATTTTTATTTAAAGATTCTTTTTTAATTAATCCTGTATAAATATATTCCAATATAATTTTCATTCCAGAGGAATTAATCTTTGGAAAAGAAATTTTATTTTCAAAACTTTCTTTCATTCCATTGTAAAGTAAACTGTCAAATAATTCGGATCTTGCAGCCAAAATTGCTCTACAACCATATAGTTTCTTTCCATCTTCACATAAAATTTCTATATCACTATATTTGGTATTATTTACTAACAAACTTAAATCTTGTTCTAATGAATATCCTCTCGTCATTTCTTTTTTTTAACACGAGTTTATGTGAATGATTAAATTTGATTTATAATAAATTGGGTTGTACGCTGTAGTACCATGTGTACGGTGAAAAAATTTACTGTCACATGGATCTCCGATTACCTAAAAAGAGTCTTTAAACGTTCATATTCAAACTATTAAGTGATAGTTATTTCACGGGGAACTGTGGATATCAATGATTTTCACGGCTGCGCCGTGAAAATCATTGATATTCAATTTCATAATGATATTCTTTTATCATATTTTTCAAGGTTTAAATGAACTTTTCATAAATCTACTTTCATTATATTCAAATACAACGACGCTATCTGGTATAAATCATTTGATTGGGCTTATGAATAACAATAAAAAGTGTAAAAAAACTCTATTCTCTTGTTTGTTAGTTAATAAACTTTGGTGTGAAGCTATAATTCCAATTTTTATAGAATTATTTATCTGAATCATTCTTGTGGTAATCTTTGCTTCGCAGCGACACAGCATGCTATTTTAGTAACATAAATTAATATTTAATGCAAGGAACTAAACAATAATTTACTTTATAAGGCGATAGTAACACGTGTATAAAAATTGAAAAGAAGAGAAATTAATGATTTTCTAGTTTAATTATCAAACTTAAAATAAAAAAAAATTTGGAGATACGCACTTTATGGAATTTTCCGCGCAGACATCGAAAAAAGACAGACTCCCACTATTCCAATACAATCTTACTCAGTGTATGAAATCTATTTGCAGAATTTGCGGAGCGCAACTTACTTTTTAATTTCTGCAAATTATACATAATTCTAGTTTGAGCATAGCGCAACTTATAATTTAAAATTTTATATTTAAAAACTTAGATTTGCAGATACAGTATTAGAAGCGCAAATTGGATTTGTTTTTACGCAAATTGCATGTGACTTTTTGTTGCGCATTGCGCGAAAAGTATTTGACATATCATTTTTCTTATTAGATATTTAATAATCTTATATTACTCTTTTTTCAGTTTCCTCTCCTTTCTCTCCTTCTCTCCCGCCTTCTTTTTTAAACCCTTTTTCCTCTTACACTTTTCTGTTTCTTCCCTCACTCTTTCTCTCCTACTCTTGTTGTCTCTCATCCTTCCTTTTCTTTCTTCTCTTCCCTCTCTTGATTGCTTTTTCTTTCCCTTTCATCTCTCTTATTTTCGTTTAATCAGCTCTTTTATTCATCTTAACATCTAATTTGCCTGAAGCAATATCAAAAGTGAGTAAAGTAAAACTTGTTTTTTTATGCATTATTTATGGAGCAGCATGTTGCTATGCATGGGTGTATCATTAGAAACTTGTTTTGCTGCTAAAATTGCACTATATCGAAAAACTTTAAATTTTGGGGTCACAAAAAATTTTTCTTTTTCTTGTGTATAAGATAAAAGATGTTTGAGGCCTACAATAGATAATCGACCAAATTCAATAGTATTCAATGGAATAATTGCCACCGTTTCAATCAATAAGTTAAGAAGAACATTATCTTCTGTTAATGACATTATTTCTGCAATTTTAGATAATAATTCTGGTGAAAAATTTTTTGTGATTTTTTTTTAAGAGTATTTTTAAGAGTTTTCACGATAAAATCTTGAATACTCAGCATTAAAAGCTTCAACTATATTTTCTTTAGTTAAAGATTATTCTTTAATTGATCCCGTATAATATATTCCAATATAATTTCCATCCCGGAGGAATTAATTTTTGGAAAGAAATTTGGTTTTCATAACTTTCTTTCATCCCATTATAGAGTAATCTGTCAAATACTTCGGACCTTGCAGCCAAAATTGCTCTACAACCATATAGTTTCTTTTCATCTTCACATAATATTTCTATATCACTATGTTTTTTTTTTGCACCCCCTGATTCTGGGGCGGTTTTATATGATCACGTGAAATTTATTTATACAGTTAAAGTAGGATCGGCATCGTGCATGAATTAGAAACCGCTCCCAGAAAACGGAGCTGCAAATTTATTGTATATTACCAAAATAATGTGATTTATGGTTATCGTGACACGATGACTCATTGTGCACATGTTGTACACGTTTTTATTTTATAGAATTGTTCATTGTTAAAAAAAAAAAAGCAGCTCCGTTTTCTGGGCGCGGTTTCTAATTCATGCACGATGCCGATCCTACTTTAACTGTATAAATAAATTTCACGTGATCATATAAAACCGCGGGGTGCAATAAATTTAGACAATTACATGTTTTTTTTTATTTAATAAACGGACAATGTTATATTGTAATATTATAAAATTTTATTTCCATTTTTTTTCGTGAACATTTGTTCATGATCGATAACTGAATGTAACACATTGATCAATTTTTTAAATTAGCATGTTCCAGAATTATAGGGACATATTTTGGTTAATAGCGGTATAAAGAAATTAAGAAAATATCTTTATTTCTTATGTAATTTAGCTCTACTACATTGATATAAATTATGACAGTCTGACGCGCTTAAGATATTGAAAGGTTATCAATAAAAATGAATAATATTTAATGGAATAGATATATCAATAAATTAAGAACATTGTTTCCCATAAATATAATATTTTGTTATGTCAATATTTCTTACGATCGGATAAAGCCATTAACATAAATTCCTTCTAATTTTGTATTATTTTCTGAAGTTATTACTAATCCAAACATTTCATAATTTTCACTTTATAATGATAATTCAAAATTTACACGATTTTGTAATTCTCAACTAGAGATGCGACCGTATGGAGATTTTAAACTATAACTACACGTAGAAAAAAGATGTTAATTAACAATTATACATAAATATGTAACAGATAAATGAAAAATGTTTTAATTTTCATGCAAATTGCGTTGTTAACGAAAAAAGATTTAAAATTTGTAATAATTTTTTTATTTAATCGTAAAAAAAATTGTTATATCATGCACACGTGACTCGATTTTCCAAATTGAATTTGGTACGAATCTAAATTTGTAAAAAATCTACACTTACTATAACGATAAATTTGGTCTGAAATGGGATGAATAACAAAACTTCTTTCTCAATTTCTCAACAAAAAAAAATCCAATAATGACGAAAGGATATTCATTAGAACAAGATTTGAGATTATTAATAAATAATCCAAAATATAGTGATATAAAAATTTTATGTAAGGATAAACAAATACTACACGGTTGCAGAGCAATCTTAGCAGCAAGGTCCGAAGTATTTGATAAATTTCTTTATAATGGGAGGAAAGAAAGTTATGAAAATCATTTTTCTTTCCCGAATATTAATTCTTCCGAAATGGAAATTATATTAGAATACATTTATTCGGGATCAATTAAAGTAGAATCTTTAAATAAAGAAAATATAGTCGAAGCTTTTTATGCTGCAGACTATTTTCAATTACTAGACCTTCAGAAATTTATTATGGAAACTATTAAAAGTGCTAATTATGCAAAAAATTATTCACCAGAATTATTATCTAAAGTAGTGAATACAATTCCGCTATCGGAAGATAATATTCTCTTAAATTTATTAGTCGAATCTGTAGCAACTATTCCACTAAATACTGTTGAGTTTGGTCGATTATCAATCAAGGCACTTCAACATCTCCTATCTTATACATATAATAAAGAAACGCCCTTTGCAACGCCAGAATATGAAGTTTTTCGATATGCCGTTATTCTGGCAGCAAAACAAGTCTCTAATAGTGCATACAAAATTCTTATGGAGAGATTACCTACCTTAGAACAAATGAATAACTCGATCCAAATAGAAATTAAATTTATTGACAATAACCGAATATCAGAAGTTACTAAAGAATTGGAACCTTTGGTTGAATTTATTGATTTCAGACGAATTAAAAGACAAATATTTGCTGATCTCATTGATCCATTAGAAATTATCCCAACCAAAATAATTTTAAATGTTTATCGATATATAGCAAAATCGAATAGTTCAGACTTAAATGATATTCGAGGAATTCCAACGTCAATTTACAAATTTAATGAATCCGATTATGTTTGGGATGAATCAGCATGTGGATCAAACCTTATTATTGAGGATAATGGAAAAGTTGTACGTACTAAATCAGCAAATGTTTATAATTATCAAAGTGTTAGAGCAAAACTTGCATTAGAGAATGAAAACATTTTTGAATGGGATGTCATTATTGAGAAAGTCAGCGTTTATTTTCATATTGGAGTATGTACATTGGAAAATTTTGAAAGTGAAAGTTGGGTGTCTTATGGATGGGTATTGTGTAGTGATGGTAGGTGTTGTAATTTCGGGAATTGGCAACTTGATTATTGTCCTGAATTTATAAATGGTGCAAGAATCACTGTTCATCTAGATATGAATAAAAGAACTTGTGCTTTTACAGTAGATGGTACAAAATATCCGGTAGTATCAACATGGAATAATTTGCCATCAAAGCTTTATCCCGTAGTATCATTTCATTATCCTGGTCGCTTTCGAATTCAACCTCATCAAAAATCATAAATCTACATATATACCCTCTATAATACATGCGAGAGTAAATAAAATTGGATATTATTTAAAGTCATGATGATAATATAATTTAGTCGAGAAATTCATTAGTAAAAAATTTTGTATTTAGCGTAGAATGAAATTATTTATATGTGCCGTATGAATTTCAATTAAACTTCCAGTTGTTAAAAGCATCATATCTTCATTGCACACATAGCTATAATGTATAGATACAACTCTTTATAATCTTTGAATATCATTATAACTGTGATTAGAAATGACAAGAGGATATTCGTTAGAATAAGACTAATGATTGTTAATAAGCAAACGTAGTGTTATATTTGAAATTATACGTACAATTTAGCAGTAAGGCAGGTTAAACGTTACCCGATTAATTTATTCATTTAATTTATAACAATTTTTTTTTTTAGATATTTTATTATTATAATTTCTTAAAAACCAATATTTATTAATAAAAAAAAATCATTTTAATGACAATAATCACGAAATGATCAATATACCGTCAAAATACGCTAAATATTATATCATTGATATTAGATCAATACTTGACTCACTCGAAGTCTAGAATATAATGCTATAAACTTGAATTGAACTGTTGAGTGCGCAATTTCTCTTCCCTTCGTAAAAATTTCGAGTCTAGATCGAGTGAAACATAAGCTTCTAATTCGTCTTCTCGGCCCATTCATCTTCATATTCATTTTCATAGTATTCTTCTTCTTTCATAGACGTTGAGAATCATTATTCATATTATTTTGTAAAATCCATAAGTTATCTGCTTATATTAAATTAAGTTACAACCAAGGAATAATTATAAATATTACGTATATCGACAATTTGCTATCCGATCTAAATTTTGATCTTTGTTATGCAACACACTCTACTTATCTAAATTTAAACTATTTATAAGTTTCTTGGACATAAAAAAAAAAATGAAGAGAGGAAAATAAGACTTAATATTGTTGATAAATAACTCAAATATGGCGATATAGGAATTTTATGTAAAGATAAAAAAAAAATATATGCATCTAAAGCAATTTTGGCTGCAAGGTCAGAATTATTTGACGGATTACTATATATGAAAATCAAATCTCTCTTCTAACTGTTGAGTCTACTGTAATGGATATTAGAATATTCTTATACGGGTTCAATTAAAGGATAAGGGGATGGCCAGAAATGACGTCATTTCCTAAGGGGGAGGGGGTTAAGACCATGATGATGTTACACACCTTCCATTTTTAGACACTTGTAGTTAATATAATTCTAGTCAGAATTGTGTTTTAATTTTACATTTCCTAAAATGAATGATGACATAGGGAGGTTAATAAAGTTCATCAGGAAGTTTTTGCCGGTCAAAATCTGCAGAGAAATCCACATGGATCCATCGTGGAAATTCTAAGTGGAACCAATGTTTTCTGAATACCCTGTGACGAAACATGTGGAGTGGAATCACAAGTTCGAGGCGGGGGGCAAAAATCCTAAAATTTAAATTACGTCATTTCTGGCCATCCCCTAACTAAAGATAATATAGTACAAATTTATTGCTGCGGATTATTCTCAATTATTGAGGCTTTAAATTTTCGTCATAAAAAAAACCGGTAAAATATTTAGAGGAGAATTACAAAGATACAGTAATTATTCAACTGAATTATTATCTGAAGCTGTAGATACGATGATAATTGACGGAAGATAATATTCTCCTTAATCAACTGGTTGAAACAGTGGCAACTACTCCATTAAATACCATTGAATTTGGTCGATTATCTATTAAAGCTTTTGTACATGTAAAAAGAAATACATTTTGCAACTCCGGAATATGAAGTTTTTCAATACAGCGCCGATTCTTGTGGTAAAAAAATTTCTAACAATACGTATAAAATTCTAATGAGGAATTCAATTAAAGCAGTATGTGGATCAAAACTTATTATTGAGGATGATGGAGATGTTGTACAAAATGCCAGTTGATTGTAACTTACAACAGAGTGTGAGTAAAGATGGTCAACGGTCCTAAAGACCATGGTTAAGACCGGTCCTACATGCAAAAAGACCGGACCACATAGAACGCAGTCCTCCATCAGTCTTTATAAATTTCGAAATTTATGATAATTCCGGCCAGAATTAAATGATCGGCATAGAAATTTCCTTTTTTGTATTGTAGTGTAACCAGGATCCGGGTAGTCTTACCACACCACCCTCGGTTACACAAAATATTTGTTGGGGGTGTGATTTCCGAGGTTGTGACAAATAATGATCAGGCTAGTAAGTCCCTCAGATAAATATAAAAAATGCGAATGCGGATATCACATGACAATGTGACGCTAAATGTCACTGTATAACCGAGGGTGGTGTGGTAAGATTTTCCCCAGGATCCAAGTGTGACGGGAACAAAAATTTCCTTTTTTGGATTTGTGTAATGTCACGTGATAGATTTTACCCATCATCGTGATCGGTCTTTATTTAGGACCGGGTATTAAGGACTGCGGTCCGGTCCGTCCCAAAGACCGATCACGTAGGACCGATTAGGACCAAGTAGGACCATTGACCATCTTTAAGTGTGAGAGTTAAAATAGCATTAGAAAACAAAGGTATTTTTAATGAGATATTGTTATAGAGAAAATATGCACACATGTTTGGATCAAATTACCTGCGGCATAGTAATTTTTCAATAGTATATGGACATTAGGTGTTATGGTAATTAACATGATATCATCCAGATATCGTCCCTCATTTGAGACATTCGGATATAATAAAAAAAAAATTGTTGTTTGCAATTAATGTAAAAAATATTCGCTGAGATTTATTTATCTTCAAAGGTTTGTCCTATGGTATCATTATATAACTCTGGTCGCCTTCAAATTCAATCATTTATTTCCGGTCTCTTATCATAAACCTATAACCATATCATATCTTGTTAATATACGTTTATATAAAACTAGTAGAATTAAATTCGTATCTCTTAAGTCAAAAAATATAATTAATTTGAGAATTCAATTGATGAAAAATTTTAATTTTTTTTAACAAAAAAATAAAGTTTTTTTTTTTTTTTTTTGTTAACTAATTATCGAGATGATCTGCATTGCACATAGTGTAACCACTTTTTTATATATAAGTCAAATTCTTAAAATAGAATCATTGAAATTGAAAAAAAAAATTCTCAAAAAATGGCGAGAGGATGTTCATTAGAACAAGACTTAAAACTGTTAGTAAATAATCCAAAGTATAGTGATATAGAAATTTTATGTGAAGATGAAAAGAAACTATATGGCTGTAGAGCAATTTTAGCTGCAAGGTCCGAAGTATTTGATAAATTACTTTATAATGGGATGAAAGAAAGTTATGAAAACCAAATTTCTTTTCCAACGATTAATTCTTTTGTAATGGAAATTGTGTTGGAATATACTTATACAGGTTCAATTAAAGAAGAATCAATAACGAATAATAATTTAATAGAAGCTTTTTGTGCTGCAGAGTATTTTCATTTATCAGATCTTCAAGATTTTATTATGAAAATTATTAAAAATAAATTAGAAACAGATTATTCACCAGAGTTACTATCTAAAGCCGCGGAATTAATGCCATTAACGGAGGATAATGCATTTCTCAATTTATTGGTTGAAGCAGTAGCAATTATTCCATTAAATACTATCGAATTTGGTCGATTATCAACTACAGGACTTAAATATCTCTTATATTGTACACATAAAAAAGAAAAGTTCTTTGCAACTCCAGAATATGAAGTTTTTCGATATAGTGCTATTCTAGCAGCAAAGCAAGTTTCGGATAATGCATTTCAAGCTCTTACGCAACAGTTGCCATCCTTGGAACAAATAGAGAATCCAATTCAAGGAATAAACGAATCTATTACCGACAATCAAACAGTTGCTGAAGAATTGGATCCTTTAGCTAAATTTATTGATTTTAGTCAAATTAAAGGAAGAATTTTAACTAATATTATTGAACCATTGAAAATTATCTCGACTGAAATAATTTTTAATGCTTATCGACAAAAAGTAACATCGCTTAACAATGATATTAATGGAACTCGAGGAATACCCTATGATTTTGATTATGTTTGGGATAGTTCAGCGTGTGGATCAAAACTCATTATTGAAAATAATAAAAAAGTTGTAAGTGCGCCAAATGGTGTTAATTCATACCAAGGTATTAAAGCTAAAGTGGCGTTAGAAGATAATGGCATTTTTGAATTTGATTTTGTTATTGAGAAAGATTGTAAACCTGCTTGGGTTGGAGTATGTTCATCAGAGCATATTAATTTTGAAACTATGTCGAAGGCTCAATCTACTATATGGGTATTAAGTTCTACTGGTTATTGCTTTAATTCTGGTAAAGGATCAAATTATTGCCAACCATTTGGAAATGGCGCAAAAGTCATTGCACATGTAGATATGAATAAAAGAACTTGCGCTTTTACAGTCAATGGTAAAAGGTATCCGGTAGTATCGGGGTGGAATAATTTACCATCAAAGCTTTATCCTCTAGTAACATTACGCCATCCTGGTCGCTATCGAATTCAATTTTATCATAGAAAATAATTTAAAGGTCGTTAATATAGAAGATGAATAAGAAAAAAATTTTAATTCGAATGACGTACAGTATGTATTTGTATTATATATCGAAGTCTAAAAATGAATAAACAAAAAGTACTTTGTATGCTGATTTACACAATTAACATATTTTTTACGTGATAAAATAATCCGCTCGATACACCTGAATGAGCCGATACCTCGATCTCGATATGCCTAAAATACAGGTCATACGACGGTATAATACCCGTCCCAAATATAACGGATTATAATATGAAGATTTCTTTAATTTTTATTGGGATTGTCAGTACTATAGTACTATGGTGGCTGTCACCTATAAACCACACTAATATTAAGTGACTTCAAATTTTTATAAATTGTAAATTGAATAGTAAAAAGAAAAAACTAAACCGATAAAATGATATAGCAACATGTACTGAACATTTCTATCGGATTATTTTATAGAATTTAATAAGAATTTTAATTAATATTATGGGTTAAAGTNGGAGATAATCTATAAAGGCTGTCTCTTATACACATCTAGATGTGTATAAGAGACAAGTTTTCATGTAATTTTTATGGATTTTACAAAAATTCCATGGAAATCCACAAGAATTCCATGTAATATGGCAAAAAAAAAATTTTGCCGCTCACGCGGCAATTAATATTTTGACAAAGTACTTTAAAACATAAGTTACACAATATAAATAAATAAATTTCAAAATTTCGGACTATTGTTGTTTATAGGTGACAGCCACCATATAAAATTTTTAAAATCAGGAATCAAGTGAATCAAGTGTACACGGTGTATACGCCTATACGGTACAATCACGTCGATTTTATTTATTATAATTAATCACGCGTATAAGTATAAGAATGTGATTTTAAGTACAAACGCGTTGTTTAAAATACTTATTTGGTAATACATCAGAATGTTTGATTCCAAATTTTCTCCGATTCATATTTAAATCACCTAATTTGTTGAAAATCTGATGCAAAAAATATATAAATATTAGCTTATTTGGCTTATCGTCTCATGTAAGCTTACAACCCACTTTCTGTTTCTTAAAAATAAAAAAAATTTAAAAAATTTGATTTTCAAATATGAAAGGATATTCGCTAGACCAAGATTTAAAATTATTATTAAATAACCCAAAATATAGCGATATAGAAATTATTTGTGAAGATAATAAAAGATTATATGCATCTAGGGCAATATTAGCAGCGAGATCAGAAGTATTTGATGGGCTACTTTATAATGGAATGAAAGAAAGCTACGAGAATCAAATTTCTTTTCCAACGATTAATTCTTTTGTAATGGAAATTGTGTTGGAATATGCTTATACAGGTTCAATTAAAGAAGAATCAATAACCGAAGAAAATATAATTGAAGCCTTCAGCGCCGCAGATTATTTTCAATTACCAAATCTCCAGGAATTTATCATGAGAATTTTAAAAAATGCCTTACTAGTTAGTCGCTCAGAAGATTATTTACCAGAATTTTTGTCGAAAGTCGTGAAAACTATGCCATTTACGGAAAATAATATTCTCGTAAACTTGTTAGTCGAAGAACTAGCAACTATTCCATTAAATGCAATTGAATTTGGTCGATTATCACTTGAAGCACTTCAATGTCTTTTGTCTCACACACACGAGAAAGCAAAGCCCTTTGCAACACCGGAATACGAAGTTCTCAGATATAGTGTTATTCTAGCAGGAAAAAAAGTATCCAACGATGCATATGAAATTCTTTTTAAACAGTTACCAGTTTTAGAACAAATAGAAAATCAGATCCAAGTAGAAAATAATTTTACCGATTGTCAAAAAGTTGCTGAAATATTAGAACCTTTAATTGAATATATTGATTTCAAGAGAATTAAAGGTCAAATATTAGCAAAATTTATTGAGCCATTGGGAATTATTCCATCAGAAGTAATCATGGATGTTTATCGATATAAAGTAATGTCGAATGATTCTGATTTAAACGATGTTCGCGGAATATCTTCTTACGCTTGGGATGAGTTAGCATGTGGATCGAGACTTATTATTAAGGAAAATGGAAATGTTGTAGAATCGCCATATGGTAACCATCTTCAAAGTATTAGAAGTAGAATGTCATTTGAAAATGAAGGAATCTATGAGTGGGACGTCATTATTGAGAGAAAGTGTAAAATTGTTTATGTCGGAGTATGCGGACCAGGGGATTTAAATTACGAAAAATTTGCAGGATCTCAACCCAATGGATGGGTATTGGGTTCCAATGGCAATTGTTGTAATTCCGGAATTTGGCAAAACGAATATTGTAATAAATTTGGAGATGGTGCGAGAGTTACTGTTCATTTAAATATGAATTGCGGAACTTGCGCCTTTACGGTCAATGGCGTAAGGTATCCAGACGTACTAGTGTGGAATGATTTACCATCAAGGCTTTATCCTGTAGCATCGTTATGTCATCCTGGTCGCCTTCGAATTCAACCTTCTCAAAATGTTCAAATAATTGAATTGAGTTAATTATTTTTTATGTATACTTCTCCAGTTATATTGGTTATATTGAAGTTTAGTTGGTTCATTGTATGCAAATTCATGTTATTCTGTTTCAAAAACGCGTACGAATGAATCACATGACATTCCATTTTTTATGGGGGGAGAATAACTCTTATCGACATTATTTTAAATTTTTTCTTTTACGTATTAATTAGTGTAACTATCATATTCAGATTAATTCCTAATTGTTTACACCTTATTAATTTGACAAAAATCTTTTTCTTTGTTCTTTGTGTTTTTTGTTAATAAATGTTCTAATATCTACTCGCAAATATTTATTATTGCAAGTTTAATTTGAATTGTAGTAAGTTTGGATTAATTAATTTTCATTATTTGGATGGTAATTGAAAATTTCTTATAATTAGTTTATTTCAAGGAATCAGTCTTCCGCCACCATCGATAAAAGAATCAATGCAACTTATTTGGTATACTGCAAGCCAAATCAAACTCGGCGGATTCGATCCGAATTTCTGAAGATTCTCAATTTTTTCAATAAATTCTTTTGCGAATTGTTATTGTTAAGGAGATAATCTATAAAGGGTTGACATAGTTATATTAATGACTGTAAATAAAAATAATTACCGTATTTTGCGGGCTACAGTACCTCATTTATAATACCTTACAAAAACAAACTCTCATTTTCTGAACGATCTTGTTATCTAAATAATAATAAAAATTGTCATATAACAAAAACTCAGGGGTATCTGAAATTTGTATATTTGTATCATACCCGCAACAATAAGTCACCTTACTGATAAATTGATTTTCTCATCATCATAACAAGCCATTAATAGTAGTCCGACTTAATAAAGCTTGCAAAAAAATGATGAGTGATGACATTGATACGATTGAATGACTAGATTTTTTTTATACTTTTTACACGAAGCAGGTATGTCAGGTGCTTGGGAAAATACATATCCGGAATCCGAATATCCACACTTTCTTCACTAATGGATAACGCGAATTTTTTAAGCCCAATTTACAAACATTTTTTTTATGAACTCTACCTATTTTTTAAATACACGGAGCAAATGTACAAACACAAAGTTGGTTGATTTTATTATTCAATTAATGGAAGTTGATAAAGAGATTAGCGAAATGAGATTAAGTTTAGATGCTTATGCTCGTATAGTTGCTGAATATTAATATTCATCTCAAGTAAGAGGAAAAATTCGAAAATGTTTTATTCACCTTAACATTATTAATCAAATCTATACTATTCATCGTAAAATCGCAGATTATATATTAATATTATTTCCTATTCATTAATATTTTGAATAATTTTTTTTTTATAAATAATAACACCAAATTTTAACACAAATAATATTCTAATTTTATTTCAAATATTCATTTCAAATATTCATATATGAATAACAAATATTTGTAATATTTTGAAAAAAAAAGCCAAAGATTGATTACTACTAGATTTTGACCACTGGATGATGAATAATATTGAAAAGTTTCACCTAGATTTTTTTATAATAAACAAGTGTGCATGGAATCAAAGAGGAGATCGTACCTTCTTTGATTATAAAACTTGCATTTTAGCATGTGTAGTCAAAGTCTTAGAATAATTTATTGTCCTAGGTGAAAGAGATGTTCTCTTGTCATTACTTGCTATGAACAAAAGGAGTTTTCTTCTGGCTATGATATATTAGATTTGTTGGATGAAGGAGCCATCATGAAGATAACAAGAAAACTGAGAACAAATAGCAAATTTGGCTCACTTCAGAGGAACATAAAATCAAATAAAGAGAATGTGCAGCCAAAAAAAAGTTGCTCTTTAGAACTATTTTAAAAAATTTAATATAAAATTTTATAAAATAGTATAAAACTTACTATAAAGTTTATGAATATTATAATATGAATATGGGATAAAATTGATATAATAAAATTTTCCGTTAATTACAAAAACTTATAAAATGAGCAAAAAAATATTATTGCTAATTATAATTAAAACGAAAAATCTATCCATCCACATCTGGAAATAATAAAAATTTTGTTAATTATTTTTGGCCTCTTCTCATCTTTTTTTTCCAATAAGATTTTCTAACAAATATCATTGTAGTCTTTGCTAATTTTATATATGCAATGGACAATTATTCATTCATTTTATCACTTAAAATTAGATATTTATTTAATGGAATATTTTTTAAAGATTTGAATAAAGAATTCTCAAATTTACTACTGTAAATATGTTGGCCTTTTTACATTTAAAAAAGGGGCTTTTTTTTTACTTTTAATTTTATCAAGTTTCTGAATGCTTAATAAGCTATGTCACAATTTATGGGGAATGGTGACTTACTAGGAATAAGGCGTCAATATATATTAACACTTTAATACTAGCTATAATTAGTTCCAAAGATGTTAGATGTTTCAAATTAGTAATCATTTAGTCGCTTTTTTTTAATCCCTACCAGCCGTAGTCTGTGTCACAAAAAAAACAAATAAAAATGCAAATAGTAAATAAATAAAGTCGCCCTAATTATAAATCCTCTAGTAAAGTTACATCTGGGCACCGGGTGTAACATAAAGTTCCCGAGGCTACTGCGGTTAATAATTTCATATAAATAAAACTGATCAACGGATAAATTCATTCCCCTTTTGTCTTTTCCCTCCTTTAATTTATTCAAAAAACATGGCATGTTCCAAAATATTTTCTGGGGATATACCAGAAATTATAGATTATATTTTACAATATTTACGAAATGATTTAAGGTCACTTTACTCATGTATTTTCGTAAATCGATTATTTTGTCGTATTTCAATTCCATTACTTTGGGAAGATCCTTTTTCAATTCCTTTAAGTAATAAAACATTTATACATTTTCTTGATATCTATTTTTTATATTTAAGTGATGTAAATAAAAACACTTTAAAAAATCATGGATTTAATATGATCGATTCATTATCATTAAAACCTCATTTATTTAATTATCCAAGTTTTCTTAAAACTGTAAATAGTTCTCTAATTGATTCGCATTTGATGGTCTGGATGAATAAATCAAGAATTTTAAGTAATGAACTCAAAGCTTCTAGTCATATAAATACTTGTACGATTAATTGTCCATTAACTGAAATACAATACAAAGCTTCAAATAAAACTAATATGGAAAATTTTCGAAATTTTATTTATAAAAAAGCAGATACAACATTAATACTTAAAATTAATTTAGCATATTTTTTATTATTTGAAATATTCATTAAAAACGATGCATCATTATATAAATTACAATTAGAAGATCGTTTTTTTAGCACTAAAAATTTTTATAATCTTGATGAATTAATTTTAGAAACTCCAAAATTTATTTCAAGAGTTAAGGATTTTCGTATAATAATATCATGTCCTGAATTTGAAGCGATACGTAAATTACAAAATTTTTTATCATCTTTACCATTAATTTGTAATTCTATTAAATACATAGAACTTAATTTTCCCCATGAAGTTCATAACAAATTTTTACAAGAGATAAAAAATTTATTTAAATCACAAATCACTTTATCAAAAGTTTTATTTAATAGAATTTGTTCATTATCAGAATCTTTAAAATATTGTTCAAATACTTTAACTTCAATTAGTTTTCATTTTATTATTTTTAATGAGAATATGTTATTATTAAATGAAATTGAACATTTAATACATATTCAATCTTTAGAATTTAAATATTGTGAAAGACCAGAATTATTTATTCAATCCCTTTTAAATATTTCTATACCATTAAAAATTAAAACCTTAATACTTGATGATAATGTTATTCAATCAATTTTTCCTTTTCAATTATTATTTCATAATATTGGTCCTTATTTAAAATATTTAGTAATAATTTATCAACCATATTTTATTGAAGATTTTTATGAATTTATTATTCAATATTGTGAAAAAATTGAATTTCTTTATTTAACTGAAATTAATAATTATGAAAATTTATTTTTTCAAATAATGGAATTATTTAATAATAATTTAAGATATCTTACTCTTGAAGTTAAAGGAAAACTTGGTAAAAATTTTTTAAAAGAATTGGGTCAATCATTACCTATTAATTTGGAATATTTAGATTTATATTTTGATCTTGATCCAATTAATTTAACCCATTTTTTTGAAAATTGTAAATATATTAATAATTTAAAAAAATTATTAATTTGTAATAGTAGTAAAAATAATTTAAAAGCTACTTTATATGTTATTAAAGAATTTGTTAAAGGGAAAAATTTAGAATATTTAACATATGCAATTACAAATCAATTTGTTCTTTCTAATAATTTAAAAAATTTAATTAAAGAAACTGAAAATATTGTAAAAATGAAAATGTATGATGATTTAATTATTAGACCATCAGATATTGATGGATTAATATAAATATATTGTATATATTATTTATTTATTTATTATATTAATAAAATTTATATTTTATTATTATTTACTATATATATTAATGTAGGAGAACATATTTGGAAGTATGTAAACCAAAATAGCCAAATCTGCATTTCTGCATTAATGTTTTTGGAATAAAGTCAATTTGGTATAGCCAGGTTTACCTGGATCATATTTCAATCAAATTAACATAAATATATTTGGAGTAAGTAAACTCATAGTGGTAAGTTTCAAATTTTCCAAACTTGATGGGTATTCAGTTATTCATTTATTATATCTCTAAATTGAAGATTTTAATTTAGGATAAAGTGGTTGGACTACAACAGGTATAACAGGTATCAAATTTAACTAAAATGGTGCATTAGTTTTCTCAATTCAAAATTTCAAGATCTAAAATGACTTCTGGTAATAAAGCAAATGTATGCCAAATTTTAATTACCATGTAGCACATTGTCTAATACTAATCTCCAATTAGTTCATGATTAAACATTAATAATAATTTTATATAATAAATCCTCTAGTACTTGCCGTATCATTACCTGGGTATACTACGTGTTTCGACCCATGGATTTTCTATAAAATTGTATGGTAATTTTACTCCACTCTGTTTATTTTCAGCTGAATCTTGTCCTTATTATAAATCCTTGTACAGAGAATTTCTTAATAAAATATTTTGCATTAGATCTTTACATAATATTTAATAAGCATTTTACATGAGTCTTCAATAGCCGATGATAATGTATGATAAAGAAAAAGAAAAATCCTCTACAATGTCATGACGCTAAATACAATTTTGTAAAGATGAATCATATTCGTTTCATGGGAAATAAAATATGTGCATTTATTCTATTCATAAAATTAATGATTTATTTTAAAACTATGTGAACGAGGGGTATTATATCCACTATTCGGTAATATTATACCATTGGCAGGATGTAATCTTATTGATATTGATACATTACAACTGTTATTTATTTAATTTGGTAATTTATCAAAACCATAAAATTTGCTAACATTTTATTCGGTAATTTATCTTAGTACATTCCTGGCTAGGGGCACTTTATACCAGCGGTATAATATCATGCTAAATTATAAACAGAATTCGCTTTAGTAAAGAGAACGTGTTTTCACACCAACAATAATGCAAGAATATAACGTGATAATGAGAATGAACGAAGAATATGATCACAACGATTGGATAAATAACCAAATAGAAATGCAATAGAACAGAAGAAAACATTTATAGAATATTGGGAAATGGAAGGTTTAGTCAATTATGATCCCTGGATTGGATTGCTGATCAACTTTGAATTGGATTGAATTACATATTGAGATCCTTGTATAACTTTACTAATAAACATTATTAAAAGGTTATTATCGTTGGCCTCAAATTGGAACAATTTGAATGGATTGGATTGAGGCGTCGAACTTAATCTAATCTAATTTCCTCATTTAGGATCATAATTACAAAGATGATCATTGCACAATCATCAAATTTATTAAACTTTTTGAACTTTTAGCCAGATGTTCATGATGCATTCGTACAATTATTTTAGCGTTTCACCAGATACGGATCAATCCGGTTAAAAGATTAATGAATTTGATTCTAGAACCTGCAGGGATTCAGGGATTCGTAAGTAAATTATTTATTAGAGTGTACGAAAACAATAATTGGATCATGTGACATCATCACTCAGGGGTTGATTGCAAATAAGGGATACTTTAAAATAGATCATGATTGGAATTAACTTAAATTAGCATGCATTCTTATTTGTTTATTATTTGACCCCTTCCGTCACTCTCTCATATTTTTGTTACACAAAAATTATTATTTTGGAGATCATACGATCGATTGTTCTTCACATTTAGTTAGAAGTGTAAAGATTTATATTGAAAATAGCGCTCACATAATATTACAGTATATGTATTATACTGCGTGTATAATAAAAAAAAAAATTTTTATATATATAAATATTATTCTATTGTTACTCCAACATTAAATAGCTATTATTCAGTCGATTAGTAATATACCGATATCTTTAATATTGAAATCGGTATTAAGGTATCATTAATTCCTATTGGTCACCGCAGCATTCCTCAGTTATTGGATGGAGTAAAATTATTAAATTTCCGGATATTAAAAATGTTGCAAACCTCAAACTTTAAATGAGTAGCGATTATCGTTGATAAAATGGTATTTGTAGACCTTAACTAAATAATAACAAAATATTTTTAGATCAAATTTTTAATATATATTTTTAATTTAATGAAAATCATCTAACCTATTTTCTTTTTATTATTATTATTATTCATATTTTTTAATAATTTATAATAGCCTAAACGGCTAAACTTAAACTACTATTTAATGAGTTCAATTTTGGAAAACCTAAAAATTCTTTTTGTATCGACATTAACTGCGTTATTGCTCCGATTTTTCCTTATTTGGTTTCCATCTCGGAATAAATAACATATTATTACTTCTAAAAAAACAAATGGTTTTTTACTAAAAATGTCGGCTAATATGCATGAATCACATCAAATTGTGTAACCTTGACACGGTACTCCGAAATTGTACCGACAGACCGACAGTGGCGTAAGCTTACGACAAGATTACGAATATATAAATAAATAAAAATAGCCTACGTTACATTAATTCTTCATTTTCCCTCTCTTTCTGAAACATTTTTTTGATTTTTTTTAAAAAAAAATGTCACATAATAAACCTATTGTAAAATTACCAGCAGACTGCATTAATGATATATTTCATTTTGTTGAAGATAGAATAACATTATATTCATGTTTATTTGTAAATCATTTTTGCTTTCATTTAATTATACCAAAATTATGGAGCAATCCTTTTTCTTTTACCCTTCCAACAAATAAATTATCATCAATTATAAAAACATATATAAAATGTTTACCAAAAGATCGTATTAATTATTTACTTAATGAAAATATTATAACTACTGATAATAGTTATTTAACAACATCATCTTCTATTGAATATCATAAATTTCTTATTGATTTTGAATATGTAAGAATTTTATATTCAATAAATTGTTGGTATGATGAAAATAATAATCAAAAACCAGAAACTCAAGAAATTCTTACAAATGAAATATTTGGAAATTTATTTTTTAATCAAATTAATAAAATGAAAAATATATTCTTTCATATTAATTATCATACAATGTATTTAATTAATGATGAAGATATTAAATTTGTTGATATAACAAGTTATGGTGGATCAATTGAAGTATTATCACAAGTTCAAGAATTTGATATAGAATATCATTTTGAACAATTTGATTTTAGTGATTTTGTTAATTTTAATGAATTAAATCATTTGATTTCTTTAACAAAGAATTTATTAAATTCTCTTATATCAAATAATAAAAATATTAAATGTTTATGTTTAGATTATAAACCTTTTATACCAACAAATGATTCTAAAGAGATTATGAAATTATTCACAAAAGTTATTGAACAACAAAAAAATTTGGAGACATTGGATATTTCAGATTCAACTGATACTTTCACTTATAAGAGATTTCATCCTTCTTTAATCACTCAAGCCAATAGTTTAACATTCTTGAGATTGGAATTTCAAATTACTATTGATCATTTCTTTTTATTAATATTGGAATTAAAATGTTTGCATACGATAGAATTACCAGTAGTACCTTATCAAGATTTTCTAGTTGATAATAATAGTAATATTTTAACGAGAGAAGATAAAATCACTTTTGAATCTGTTTCAAAGAATACGATCATCAAATTTAATCTTAAAAATATTTTCTTCTTACCAAAGGAAGGTTATCCACATAGATCTGAAGATTCTTGTAAGGTATTACAAACTTTATTGGAATATTCAAACAAATCTGTTGAAACTCTTACTATATTTTCTTTATCGAACGATTTTATTCCAACAATTTCTTTAAATTGTCCAAATATAACTCATATATCAATGATAATAGATAATAATAATTTGATATCTTGTTTAAAATTATTCTCAGAATTACAAAATTTATATCATTTAAAATTAAAATCTTCAAATATTCCTATCGTCACTACTACTACAATTGATAGATTACAAATTTATTTTGATGAAAATATTATTTGGGATTTAGTTAAACAAATTCCTATAACATTAAAGATATTGGAATTAGATCTTTTGATATCAAGTAAAGATTTGAAAAAATTCTTATTGGAAAATTGTGAGGCTTCATTGAAAGAAATAACTTTTCATAATAAAGAATTGATAACCAATCAACATTTTAAAGTATTATTAGAATATGTTGAAAAAAAGAAATCTTTAAGAAAGTTTAGTTTTAATAGTAATTATTTGAATGATGATTATTTTCTTGATAGTGGTGGTAGTAATAATAATAATGATGATGATGGTGATGATGATGATGATGATGATGATAATGATGGTAACAATTATTATGATGGTATGAAATCAAAAGAATATTCTGGTTATATATATTTAGAAGAATTGATGAGATTGATACCTGAGATTTCTGATCCTATAGATGTTGTTAATCCTTTTTATGAATATTAAATATTATGACTAAATTGTTGGGTAAATTTGTAGGATGTTATATAAATAAATATTTGTATGGTTTTTTTTTTAGCAATAAATTACATGATTAACAATACATCACTCGTTATCATCCCGTGAGATCTCATTTGTCACACAATTTAATTATTTATATCACATGAGCGAATGTTTTTTTTATTTTTATTATTACACCAACGAAATTTCGATGACAAAATCAAATCATGTGAATTATCTTTTATAATGCAATTTCGAAACGATAAGGAGTTTATATGTAACCATCCGTTATACAATGAAATCATATACTTTATTTGTTATGCCCGGGGATCATAATTAATTACTATATAAAGAAAGTATAGTTGGTACAAGTGCTGGTACCGCCCTTAAGACATTAATAAAAATGGGCCAGTAATTTAGGCCGATCATCGTCTAGGGGCACTACACGTTAAACCTAAAATAATTTAGTTAAAATGTATTATAATAAAATGCTTCTATTTATTCTTTCCGTTTCAAAGGAATTTGTAACTATAATTATTATTCTTCATCATCAAAGATGGACAATGACTATAATTGGATAAAGTTATTATCTAAATATATTTTACAATAAAGAATGCCTAAATATATATAAACACGAATTCGTTAATCTTATTTATTTAATTACTTTGTTTTTGTTTTTGTTTTTTTTTTTGAAAAAAAAAAAGAATTTTTTTTTAAAAGTTTTTGTTTCTTTTATACCCTCTTTAACCTCTTTAGGATCATTTTTTTTTTCACGTATACATTATACGTACTCACACGTACATACTGTATATGTAAAAAAAAAAAAAATATGGTAGATAATAATAATATAAAGATTACTCAAAATCAAATCTCGTTCACATCATCATACTTTTTTACGAAGAAATTTATAATCATAGTATTCTTTATATTAGGATTATCGAATTTATTATTTATTTTATTTTATGGACAAAAAAATTTATTTGGTGAATTAAAATTAGAAAATGAAACTTCTCCCAGCAACATTCCCACACCAATTTTATCAAATGATAACGTGAGTATTAAAGTTCTTTAGATAGAGTCATTAGAGTCTCATTAGAGTCATTTGAAAAAGTGTTACTTAAATTTGAGGGTTTTTTGATTAGGACACGAAAATTGTTCAAGAATCACGTGATGGTCTAATTAATCGAAAATATTGCGGTAAAGACGAATGTAAATTCCTTTTGGCTTATCATTTATTAGAACAAGAAACTCAAGCGAATATGCATTTTGAATCATCCATACAAATTGCCCAACGTTTAAATCGTACGGTAGTCTTGCCAAATGTTGGCGGATCAAGAATGCATGTATGTCGACCATTCCCATTTTCATTTTATTATGATATAGATGGATTACAACAAATCTTTCCTACAGTACAATTTATAACTCAACAAGATTTTATGAAATGGACGAAAGAATTAGAAGAAAAACCTGATACATTTCATGCTCATATTGCACCAAGAGGAAAACCATTTTTTGTTGAAAATGAAGAACCTAAAATTAATTATTTAAATAATAGTGAATGTTTAATTTAAAATTAAATTCTAATATAACATTTAAAAGAATTTATTTAGGTGTAAATGTTTTATATCCACCTACAGAAAATTATACAAAAATTGAAAATTTTATGTTAAAAGAATTACAAACTAATTCTAAAGTATTATTAATTAAACATAATTTACCTATGCTTTTAATTAAATTTTCCTGTTATACCTTATTCAAAAAATTTAATTAATATTCAAAATAATATTATGAAAAAACTTGATAATTATTTGGCAATTCATTGGAGGATTGAAAATAGTAATATTAAATTATTATCAAAATGTTCAACAAGTTTGGTTTCTTGGATAAAAAATTTTACTTTAGAACATAAAATAGATAATATTTATTTTGCTACTGATTATCCTTTACATGGTAATTATGATAAAGCTCAATCTGCTAGTTTTTATAATATTAGAGAAGAACATCACCAAGCTATTCGTACACTTAATAGTACTATTAAATTAAATACTTGGATATCTTTAAATGCTTTGGACGATTTAAAGAATGATTATGATGAAAAAATTAAGTGGGAATTAGAAGGAAGTGGAGTACAAGGAATTTTGGATAAGTTGGTCTTAATTAATGCTGATTGGTTCGTGTCTGGACCTAGAGGTTGTGCAAGAATACAAAGTAGATTCACAAGACGTATTAAAAATGCTAGGGAGAAATTGATAAATTCTGGGAATACTAAAATTAAGAATATTTCAACTGTATGGTCACTTATATGATGATTGTATAATATTTCTATGGGTGACATATTTTTTTGTAAATTAAAAATTCACGTTTCGCGAAGAAACGAAAATCATTTTATACTTTTTCGGTTAATAAAATTTTACATGACAAATCCTGTTATTTGTTTATTAATTTTTTTGTACGATAGGATTTATAATAAGTTTTATATATTTTTTTTTTATTACCTAAATCGAGAAATAAATGTTGTTCATCGTTGAATTAAAGTTATTTGAGTAAGGTTGAACAAGAACGCCATTACACTAAATATACGTATATATATGTACGTATTGCTTCTAAATAATCAAAAAATAATTTTTTGTCATTATGACAGTACAAGATAATAATAATGAATCGGGAAATTCAAACATTCCCAAAAGTAACGATGTAGAAGTAGTGGTTGCACAGGAAATTCCGGATGTTCCATTTGAATATTCAAAGAAATTTCAAATTGGAGGTACAAAATTGTTGATTGTCGATAAAGAAGAAAATATAATAAGTGGAAATGCTCCTAATTGTTGCGTACTTGGTAGCCCTGAACATGTTGGTAAATTGAATTAAAATATCGATTGGATGATGTTCAAAATGTTAATTCTTTATTTTATTGATAGGTAGCGGCATTGAAAGCAAAAATTGATGAATTGAAATCACATTCTGAGCAATTGGAACGAGAACGTAAAGAAGCTTTAGCACGTTCAGAATCCGTATCAAATCAACTTGATAAACTTGTTGGAGAATTATCACAATTAGGTCATCATGACACTTCAAAAAATGGAGAACAAACAATTCATGCTACAATACATACATTTGGTCCATTACAACAAAATCTTGAAATAATAGAAGACGACGATTCATCCGAAGATGAACATAAATACGATAGAATAATGAGACAACCTAAAATAAGACAGTATTGGCATAATGGAAACTTACATAGAGAAGCCGAAGAAAGAAGAGTCAGTTTTACGGAATTATTTTGGGATTTAATATTTGTAGCTGTTATCGGAAATTTAGGTCATGATTTAGTTGAAGATATTTCTGGTACTAACATTGAAAGATTTATTTTAACTTTGTAAGTATTATAATATAAAATGTTTTACGTGACGGAGAGCATTAAACTAAAGAAATTAACCTTTTTTTTTAGTTATCCTATTTACAAAATATGGTTGGATATGGCTATGTACATGAATCGGTATAGTTCAGACGATATATTTGAGAAGTTTTTCTTTTTATTTGTAAGTTATTTGTTTTACGATATCTTTTAAAAAATGTTTTAAATGTTAAACAAAGAAAAACTACATAATAATGAATAGGAGATGATACTTGTAATTATAATGGGCACACATGCAACGGATATATTCCATGAAAATGTATCAATTTATCTCGGTAATTACGAAAATTTATACTATAATTGTATTTAAAATGGTATCTCTATTTTTTTAATATTTATTTCTTTAAAACCATTTAAGTGTCGTTCATTATTGCGCGCATGGTATTTGTATTTTTACATATATTACATGCAACATGGATTCCATTATTTCGCGCATCATTTATGAATATTGCGTGGGGAGTTTTTATTCCATGTGTAATTTGGATTGTAGCAATATTTGTTCCAAGTAATTGGGTTAATATAGCAATGTGGATCGCGATTGCGATTGGTAATTGAATATTTTTTTTTTATGATTCTTTTTTCTTTGAAAATTTCATGAAATACTCATTTATTTCTTTAAAAATAGAAATGTTATGGACTAAAATAATGCCATTATATCTTCGATTTGGAAGAAAAACAAAAACTCAAGATGAAATTGTTGTTGATACAACACGTGAGAATACACCTGCAAATGATCCTTCTTCACCTACTTCTCCAACTACTTCATCATCACCTACCTCGCCTATCTCGCCATCTTCAACAATTACAAGTCGTGCACCACATAAAGCAATGAGAACTCGCGGTACAGAATATCAATGGAAATGGAAAGATTTATTCATAATATTTGATACAAATCAATATAGACCTGCTTTAAATATTGAACATTATAGTGAAAGATTAGGATTATTCGCAATTATAGCTTTGGGTGAAGGCGTAAGTAATGAATAAGTCTTAATTATTATAACGCGAATAATTTATTTCGGAGCTTATAAATTGTGTAAATTAATTTATTATAATAGGTTCTTGGAGTTTTATATACCAGTTATAATCCACAACCTGATGGTCAACTTGGAAAGGTCAGAAATAAAATACAATTGAAGTTTATTGAAAAATTTTGATTCGAATTTTTTATAATTAATATCGGTTTAAAATGTTTAATAGGCTATATTAGGATTGCTAATTACTTATAACCTACATTGGATATATTTTATTGTGGATGGTAGTAAACAATTCCAACATGCTTTAAGAAGACATGTTATTACCGGTCTTTTATTTGGAATGACTCATTTTCCTTTGGTAATTTATTTTTTTATTTTTTTATTTATTTTTGATTTACTTAAAAAATAAGTAAAAAATATTTTTATTAACAAAACAAATTTTATTTTATTATTAGAACATGGCGTTGGTTGCATTTGGGTACATTTCTTTTATTAAATTTCGAATTTAAATTTTTAATATCAAAAAATTAAAAGGTTTTTTTTTATAGAGCGTCATTAGGAAAAATTGTACAACTTCGTGATTTTCCTGGTGCTCATAGCATTCCAACAAATGAAGTCGGTTCTCATGCATTAGTAGCTGAAAGTAACTCTCCTTCCGAAAGTACTCCAACAGAAGTTGATTCACATAATGATTCATATGATCCTCATAATGCTCCATTATTTTGGTTATATAGTGCTACATTAGCAATTTCGTTATATTGTATGGGCATAGTTGGAGTATTACATAAAGGATTAGACGAAGATAATTATCTAAGAATTCCAAAGGTAAACTTTTCATCAAAATTGATATTTTTTTGATCAATTACCTTTTTTTCTTAAAAAAAAATTCACGATCGTTTTTTTTTTATTTAGTCTTATCGAATTATCTTGAGGTTCATAATTGGAACAATTTGTTTATTGTTACCATTAAGTAAAGTTAATTCATTAAATTTGGTTGTTATAACATCAATGCTTTCAATATTTTTGATTATCGTTGAAACTTATGGTAGACTTAGAAAGGGATTACCATTATTTGGTAAATGTGAAGATGATGTTATAATACATCCCGAATATAAGAAATATATTAAATGGAGATGGGGGAATAAAGATTTAAATAAGGGAACTTGGAGTACTGGAATTTTGAGAAAAAGAAAGAACAAAAAAGAAATTGGGATGGATGATAAATTAATATTTGAGAGTTAATCATAAATTTAATGTGAAGTATAAAAAAATTATAATGAAAAAAAAAACTTGGACTAAAATTGCCTAATGTTTAGTTAATAGAAAAAAAAATGTATATATAATATGTTTATTTTTCTTTTAATAATAAAGTGGTTAATATTATTCCGTTACGGATTAATCGTTATATCGTTATATAAAGGTATGCATATATTCCTAGGCTAATTTCAATCCAAACCTGACTAGATCCGATTTGGAACATATCTCAGTTTATTTAAATGCTGATTTTTTTTTCTACGACAGTACGACTTACGCCACTAAAAAAATATTTACATACTTTTCCGTGTTACTTGGCTTTTAACATGTGAAGTTCTCCATGCCGGTGAGATTTCACCAAAATTTTTAATTTTACGAAAAGACGAAGAGAAAGTCCATTAATCCAGTTTTTCGTAGCGTTAGTTTTTACCAAATGATTGTATATGCGGAATCATAGTCGAGACCAAATGATCAGTGCGCAGTTTAGCCAATGATCATTGCAAGTGCCATTCTGATCAGTACTACCTATACATACTATAATATTAAAGAAAAAAATTTTTTTTTTTCAATACCACATTTCCTATGTATTACATTTGATATTTGTGCGCGGTGATTATCTTTTTTTTTGGCATTATTTTCAGGAAGTGCTCTGAATGGGTGAAAGAAAACTTTAAACGAAGGTTTTATTTTAAAAATCGATGAGTGAGAGCATCCTTATCCTGTATCAGTGGATCACCGGCGGTTCAGATTCTTATCTTCAGTGAATTTAATTGGATAAAATTGTTTTGTGCTAGAAAACATATTCGCGAATCTTTTTAAAATCGGCATATCGCGAAATTTGATGATTACACAATGTCAACTCCTTATTTACCATAACAAATGTGCAACCTTTTTTGCTTATTCTATTTTTCTGTGTATTTTATGATATATAATTAAGTTTTAATAATTTTAGTGCTTACCAATCTTATAAAAAAACGCACATCTGATACGCGTACAATGTACTCCTTTTTACAATAATAAACATGTTTTCCCTAGGCATATATGGTATGATTTATTACTATACCGTAAATAAGCTTAGTGTTTGTATTTATTGCCAACTGACTGTGAAACGTTAGAAGCCGATCCAGTGATTAACAATATTTACTTTAAAAATGTAATTGTTTAAAAGGCACAATATTTATTAAAGCCTGTAGATGTTGGTTTTATTTTTACTGAGGGACGGTGATGACTCGCACCGATACTATTGAAAACTCGAGTTGAGCAGAGTCAACCCGAAAAACCGGTTCGGCTCCATAATCGGTTTTTATCACTTCAGTCCAGATTCGAGTCAGTACTTATCAAAATTTATCAAACCCGATATAGAACCGATGTACAAACCGAATGGAACGAACCGACTCAATCGCTCAACCCGAACTTTTTCCATAACATTAACAAAGTCAAAAAGTACATCTGTATATGAAGTATTATCATTTTTCATCCTCACAGATATCACAAATATAATAAAAATATTTATATACAATAGCAGTTCTAATATTATACAGTATCTTAACCAAATCCAATAATAATAATTTAATAATTCTAAAATTCTAAAATTCTAAAATTCTATTTAAAGAAAAAAATAAATGAGATAATAATGATGATTTATGTACGTTCTTAAGAAACAGGAAAGAAAATATATAATACAAAAAATCAAACACACCGGCTTCCCAATTAAAATTTTCGACTAGGTCCAGGACAAGTAGTCCAAGTTTAAAGGAAGCCCGTCGATTAATTTGTAAGTCGTTGTGAAATCACATGATCAATTTTCTTAATGCTTAATAATGATCTAGGGTTGCACATCATACCATTATTAAGCACAAACTAGATTGAATTCGTTTTTTTACTGCGAAATAAATAAATCATTATAAATCGAGAAATAAATGTTGCTTATCACTAAACTGTAAATTGTTGAGTAACGTTGAACCAAAACGCCTTCAAATTAATTATATATATAAACCTAAAAAAGAACTTTGAGAAATTTGTCTATTGAAAAATATGACAGACCAAAATATTATTAACAATAATGAAAATAATGAATTAAATGAAATAGATAACTCAATTTCAAATGGAGATCAAACTAAGGAAACCGATCAAATTAAGGAAACAATTCCAAATACGTCAAATAGAGATTTAGAAATAGTAGTTACACAGGAAGATCAGAATGTTCCATCAACAGAATTTTCAAAGAAATTACAAATCGGAAATACAAAATTGTTGATTGTTGATAAAGAAGAGGATGTAATAAGTGGAGAAGCCCCTAATTGTTGTGTACTCGGAAGCCCCGAGCATGTAAGTTAAAGTTGGTGGATGTTACATGATTCGTCAAATTAATTCACTGTACAATACATTCGTATTAATAGGTAGCAGCATTGAAAGCAAAAATCAATGAATTGAAATCTCATTCTGAGCAATTAGAACGAGAACGTGAAGAAGCTTTGGCACGTTCCGATTCTGTATCAAACCAACTTGATACACTTGCAGGAGAATTATCACGACTAGGCCATCATAATAGCAACTCAAAAAATGGAGAACATACAATTCATGCTACAATACATACATTTGGTCCATTGCATAATCTTGAAATAATAGAAGATGATGATGATTCATCCGAAGATGAACATAAATATGATAGAATAATGAGACAACCTAAAATAAGACAGTATTGGCATAATAAAAACTTACATAGAGAAGCCGAAGAAAGAAGAGTTAGTTTTACGGAATTATTTTGGGATTTGATATTTGTAGCTGTTATCGGAAATTTAGGTCATGATTTAGTTGAAGATATTTCTGGTACTAACATTGAAAGATTTATTTTAACTTTGTGAGTATTATAATTATCGGATTCCGCAAAGAAAATGTTCATGTGGCGCAGCAAACTAAAGAAATATTTCCATCTAGTTATCCTATTTATAAAATATGGCTGGATATGACCGTTTATATGAATTTTTACAGTACAGAAGACTTATTTGAGAAATTTTTCTTGTTATTTGTAAGTCCAAAGTTATTTATTTGTTTTATAAAATGTTATAAAAGTTTCTATATTAAGATTGATATACTGATATAGGAGATGATGCTTGTAATTATAATGGGTACACACGCACTCGATATATTCGATAATACTGTAACGATTTATCTCGGTAAATACGAAAATTAATATTTTTAAATTATATTTCTTTTCTTTTTTTTTTTTTTATTTTTTAAAAAAAAAATTTTATTAATTGTCATACGTTATTGCACGCTTGACATTCATGATTTTGCATATATTACATGCGGCATGGATTCCATTATTTCGCACATCATTTATGAATACTGCATGGGGAGTTTTCATTCCATGCATAATTTGGATTGTAGCAATATTTGTTCCACGCAATAAGGCTAATATAGCAATGTGGACTGCAATCGCATTTGGTAATTAAATATATATATATATATATTTTTGGAAAAAAGCGTGATTTCTTTTTTTTTACAATTACCGAATTATTTATCGTAAATAGAGAATTTATGGTCTGGATTAATGCCATTATATGTTCGATTTGGAAGACGACTTTTTCATAAAATAGATGCAAAAGAAGAAGTAGTTGTTGATACGACACGTGAGAATAAAGCACCTGTAAATGATCCTTCTTCTCCAACTTCTCCAGTTTCTCCAGTTTCGCCATTTTCTCGAACTTCGACAACCACAAGTCGTTCACCACATCCACATAAAGCAATGAGAACTCGTGGTACAGAATATCAATGGAAATGGAAACACTTATTCTCAATATTTGAGTTGTCAGAGTATAGACCCGCAATGAATATTGAACATTATAGTGAAAGATTAGGATTATTCGCTATTATAGCTTTGGGAGAGGGTGTAAGTAAATATGATAAATGAATACGTCTTTAACGCGTTTTTCTAAAAATGATTATTAAGAAAAACTTATTTATGGTGATAGGTTCTTGGAGTTTTATATACCAGTTTTAATCCACGACCCGATGGTCAACTTGGGAAGGTCAGAATAAATATTGTTTTTTTTTAATCAAAATAAATTAATAATATATCGGTTAAAAATATTTAATAGGCTATATTAGGATTACTGATTGCTTACAATCTACATTGGATATATTTTATTGTGGACGGTAGTAAACAATTTCAACATGCTTTAAGAAGACATATAGTTACCGGTCTTTTATTTGGGGTAATTCATTTTCCATTGGTAAGTTTATCTTAAAAATTACTAAAAAAAAAACAAATGAATAAAATTATTTATATTAACGAAATATATTTTTATTGTAGAATATGGCGTTAATTGCATTTGGGTACATTTCTTTTATTAAATATCGAATTTTGAATTTTTAATATCAAAAAAAATTAAAAAAGTTTTTTTTATAGAGCGTCATTAGGAAAAATTGTACAACTTCGTGATTTTCCTGGTGCTCATAACATTCCAACAAATGAAGTCGGTTCTCATGCATTAGTAGCTGAAAGTAGCTCTCCTTCCGAAAGTACTCCAACAGAAGTTGATTCACATAATGATTCATATGATCCTCATAATGCTCCATTATTTTGGTTATATAGTGTTACATTAGCAATTTCGTTATATTGTATGGGCATAATTGGAGTATTACATAAAGGATTAGACGAAGATAATTATCTAAGAATTCCAAAGGTAAACCTTTCACGAAATTTAATATTTTTTGATCAATTACCTCTTTTCAAAAAAAATTCACGATTGTTTTTTTTTTCTTTAGTCTTATCGAATTATCTTGAGGTTCATAATTGGAACAATTTGTTTATTGTTACCATTAAGTAAAGTTAATTCATTAAATTTGGTTGTTATAACATCTTTGCTTTCATTATTTTTGGTTCTCGTTGAAACTTATGGTAGACTTAGAAAGGGAGTACCATTATTTGGTAAATGTGAAGATGATGTTATAATACATCCCGAATATAAGAAATATATTAGATGGAGATGGGGGAATAAAGATTTAAATAAGAGAACTTGGAGTACCGGAATATTAAGGAAAAAGAAGGGTGAAAAAAGGAGGGAGAACGATACTAGTAATATAATTTTAGGTGAATGATATTAGTAGTAATAATATTTTGGTGTAATTATAAAATAATCTCATTTAAATAAGAATTCTTGTAAATTGAATTAAATAATCATCTTTGGAAATCACTTCAGATTAATATCAATATAAAACTTTTACCGATATTGTTCTAAATCTGTTCTAATTGACGGTCCGATTAGAACACCCATTTTCCGTTTAACGGAGATTACCTGTAATTTTACGATCAGTTATAGTTTAGATTTTAATCTGTTAGGTTCGAGTAGTTTTGTTTTTAGTGTTTTTTTTTTCATATATATTTTCGATTATTTTTTACTACATCTTTATTCGAGTATGGTGACAGTTAGGTTCATGGGATTATTTATTGTATTTGAAAATTTGCACGATTAGGTACATTTCTGGTTTAACCAGGTTGCTTTTTACATGCCTCTAGGAGTCTAGGTATTTCCGACATTAATATAAGTACCCTTGGTATATGTTTATTAAAGAAATGCAGTGCAGATTTTTTAAAAAAAAGAACGCCCAATTTCTTTTAATAAAAATATTATGTAATCGTTCTCGTTTATCCGGTATTTTATAATTAAAAATGATTACGTTTTGAAGGCTCATTGCATACATAGTAATGTTATCATTACACGTGACCCGCTTTCTCATGTGCATGCGGGTTTAGTATGTAACAACTAGAGGTGCAAACTTAACTCATTTTTAAATTACGTCCATACGTCTTTATATGTTACTTATCTAATTACGATAATAAATCGTGTATCAGGCATATTATATACATATATATATTCAGGCAATATTCAAATCACATGATACCGGATAAATCACTTCCCGAATAACTAAAGGTAGCTCTGGTGCGTGCCTTATCGATACGAGTAGTGCGGTTTTTAGCTACGATAGTCCCATCAGGTGGCTTTTTTACAGTATCAAATATGTTAATTTTCTGTGGTTCTTACTGATAATGTATTTCTCTGTGAAGTAAAATTAAAAATAAAAAGGCAGCTTGTTATATTGGGAATCATTTGTCTCGGGCCCGAGATTAGAGCCCGAGATCAACCAACCAAATTTGATTTACCCATTCATGCTGTACGGTAGGATCTCATTAAAAATGTATTACCTATGTCGGGTAAGTTTGTGTAATTTGGACCTAAATAGGATCTTCATAGATTTAATTATTCGGGAAATTTACCAACCGATAACCGACATGCATAAAAGGCTATCTTCACTAAAAAATTTACTTGACGTTTTCTCTTTAAAATTGTTTTCTAAAAAACAAAAAAAAATAAATTGACCAAGAAATAAATAAGAAAGAGAATAATAAAAAAAAAAGAAGGATCAAGATGGCCTCAAATGTTCCAATAATAATAAAATCTTTTTTCTTTATATTAATCCTTCTGAATATAAAATCATTTCCGTTAGCATATCATATCAGAACCGTTCCATTAATTTTAGAAACTTTTAAAAATCGGAATAATAATAATGAAGATAGGGATTTATTTCAAGCTACAGAAAGCACATATAGTGTTTTATTTGATGATGTAAGTTTTTTCTTGTGAGAAATATACATATATATAATTGTATAAACTAGGGAAAAGACAAACAATAAGCTATTTTATGTATTATTTATTTTTATTTTTATTTTTATTTTTTTTACAAAAATAGTTAGATACAAATAGGCATATGAACAATAGGTAATTTATATATGCTATATTATATTTATATGAGATTTTACGTCATAATTGAAATTTTTTTATTTTTTAGTTCGTATAACAAAGTGTTAGATCATGCAAGAGGACATTTCTTTGCAGCATCATTTGCAAACTATATGTGGAATCATAAAGTAGTTATAATGCAAAAATGTGGGAATTTTTTTTTTTAATATTTGTAAAAGCATTAATTTATTTTTATTCATTCAAAATTCTTCACATTTTTTTTTCTCTAGCTGTCTTAATGATTTTCAATCATGAAATTCCACCATTTTCAAATTACTCAGTATATACAAGAATTTTAACATGGGATCAAAAATGGCTCATATTAGTAAGTTATTTTAGACTTCATAAAGAGAATAAAATTGTTTCATTAGGATTATCAAAATGTATATTTAAAGAACCTAACGGTAAAACGATCAGACCCGAAGAATTATTTATAGGTAGTGGGTATTTAAAGAATGATAGTGAAAAAAAAAAGGAAGAAAGAGAGGATAGAAGACAAAAAGGAATGAAATTTGTCGAAGGAACTTATTTAGCTGAAAGGTTATTTGATGATGAATTTATAAAAGATCTTAATGTAAAAAATAAAATACCCGCAAAATTATAATTTATAATTGTATCTTTAATTTAATAATTAATAGATTGTATTATGTTTAGATTTGATGTTAAGTAGTCTTTAAAATAGGAAATTTATAATAATCAATAAAAAATTAAAAATTATAACAACATTTATGTGTTATAATGATGATGTGCGCTCTCTTCTGAAAAATGTTAGTTTATTGAGATTGAGTTATTGGGGCTATTAAATTGCTAATTAAATAATCTTAAGTTCTAATAACTACGTTAAATTTCAACAATAAACTCCAATAATAAAAGGATTTGTAATTACACCTAACGAATCTCAGCCACGATTGAATAACAACTGTGCGAGTTCGTATAGTGTGTCACAACCTTTCACCAAGGCTAGCTTTGAACAGGGCCTAAAGCCAAAATACTATTTAACCGATATGCTAAGCTACGTGCACGCAGGGTTGGCATTTACTGGAATATTGGAACCGGAAACATGTGTTCCAGTCTTTGTATTCCAGTATTTCAATGCATTTACTAAAATTCCAATGGAAAACTGGAATATTGGAACTTAGTTTGGAATAATGGAATACAAAAATTTATTTTGGAATACTGGAATTACTAAAAATTTTATAAAAGAAATTTATTTATTTTATTGATAATTTGATATTATTTATATACATTTGGATTTTAACATGTAATTAATGTAATTAAGGAAGCACATAAAAAAAGCCAGGTACTTCTAACCCAAATTTGAATAAAGTTGTTAAATCCCATTTTGCATCGTCATTATCTGCAGGATGAATTTGATTTTCAAGTAATGCATTGAATTCGGAAGAATCTTCATCTATTTGATTACCTGAAATATTATTAATTCCATTATTAGTATCTTCTACTAATATTTCTAACCATGATCTTATAAATTCATCACATTCATTATTCTCATCATTTTCATCATTTTCTTTATCACTTTCATCATAAAATACTTCTTCATTATCCATATCCAATCTACTTCATCGTACAGCTATTCTGTCATTTTTAGCTTGCTCATTTTCAATAGAAATATTTTTCATAAATTTTTGTCTCTTAAGTTCACCTCTAATTTGTGCCATCCATAGAACCTTAGAATACTAAATATTAAAATAGAATTAGTGATGAACTGACGATAAAATATAAAATATATTGCTAATATTTAAAAAAAGAATACTTGCATTCAATCTATTTCGTCTTTTAGTATGCAAAAATCCCATAGTTGAAAATAGCCACTCACATGAAGCAGAATTTACATATATACTAAATAATTTAGTTGCTAATTGTAATAATTCTGGCACTGAATCACTTAGAAATGACCAATAATCTAAAGGATTTTTTCTAGTTCTTGTAAAGAAGATTCATTAAATGGAAATTTATTTTCTTTATATGCTAATAATTCTTATATCATAGAAATTGGTTTTTACCAAATCATTTAAAGAAATAGTATTGGGCTCACTTATTAAGATTAATGTGAAAAATTTTTTCATTAGGTGTAAAAAATCATAATTTATAGAATGGATGTAAAAAAGAAAGATAAGATAAGTAAAGGTTGCTCCCATGATTTCCAACGATTCACTAATCTCATTGCATCATCTCCTTATAATTTTCATCATTACTTTCTAAAGTGCATTGCATAAAGTAGTACTTTGATTTGGATGGGTTTTTAACAGATCAATCTGTAGTTTACTACAGTTTGGCATCAGTTTATTTGAGTTGAAACTATACATGCTGCCCAAATTATTTTGGAATGCCATAATTATAATTTGGGATGTCGTAATTCATTCAATTTATATATAATTTACTATGTAAAATGCTAAAATAATTTGGGATGTCATAATTGAATTTGGGATTTTACTTATAATTACGGCAGCCCAAAATAATTTGGGTGGCATGTATAGTTGAAACTATAAGTTTGGCCAAAATTAATAAAATTTGTAGAAGAATAATTTTTTTAAATCTGACAAAAATTATAGTTTGACAAAAATAATAGAAAAATGTTGTGATGCTAATCAATAGATCAACCAGATCAAAGTACTAGCATAAAGTATCCATTAAATATATTCCAACAAGATAGGGTTTATTTATTTAAAGTCCTTCATTCATTTGGATATTTTTACAAGTTTTTTAATAATTATTATAATGATACATTATTTAATTGAATGTATATCCACCTTGAAAATTACTGGAAAACATCAGTAAATTTTTTGGGATGCAAATCCTTAGGGATTCCAAAAATCCTGTAATTAGTAAAGATCTCCATCACGAAGTTGATCAAATGTTAGACTTGTATTCATCAAACACAAATTATTTAATAAATGCTTAAATTTTATATTTACTGAATGCTTAATGTTTCATGAACATCTATTTGTATTTAAAATAAGCATTTATTTATCATTGTAATAAATTACAAATTAAATATTAATTATTAAATACTTCATAATTGCTACTTTAACAAAACACTTAAAAAATATTTTAAATTAATACTTATTAATTGCTATGAAAAAAAAAATATCAATTAAACATTTGAATTTATTATTAAAAAAACATAGAATATAAGCATTTAGATTTTGTTATTTTTATATTAAGTCTTAGGGGCTTACCTTTGATGTAATAATATAAACTTGTTAAAAAAAAATCATGTCCCAAAATTAGTATTACGCGTATCACGTGATATAGATTAATCTTTTTTTTACAAATTTTTTTTTCAACGAAGCTTCACTTTTTTCACTCTTCTATTTTTCTTCCTTCCTTTCACTCTCTCCATTTCCATTTCCTTTATTCTTTTCCTTTGTTCTTTCCTCTTTTTTATCCTTTCCCCTTCTGTTTAAAAGTTAAAATCACCCATAAAAAAAACCAAAAATTCTTTTTTTAAACTAAAAATGTAGGGGTTTTGCGGTGTAATATATGCAAAACTACCAAAATTAGTTTCGTAAAATCATAAAATGCGAAACTGCAAAACTGTCAAAACCTGCAAAACTGTTTTGATATTTCGCTGTAGTATATCATATGATATACATATAGTTCTAACATTTATCATATTCAATATATATATATACTATATATATACAATTTTGGTCTATTTGGTCTATTTAAACTAAAAAAATTTTATTTTTTTTTTTAGTTCCAGTATCAATTATGATTATCGATCTGATCAATTGATAATCTTTTTTATATAGAAATTCGTTAGAAAAATTTACTATCACGTATAAAATGTTAAAAAGCTAAAAGCTAATTCAATGAAATTGTAAAAAAAAACATTTTTATAAAACCTTTCATGTTCAAGTGAAATGACAAAAGTTAATCAATTTTTTTCTTTAGGAATATTCCTGGTTGGTAAGTTGATTGATTTTTTTTATTATCGTTTTTCATTTCTTTGGTTCTAATTTTGTTTTTTTTATTAGATTTCATTTACTTCATTTTTATTATTTTGTAGAAAACCACTTCGAAACTAGTTAAAACTGAAACCTACAAAAAAATAGTCTAACCGGTAAAGAAAATGTTAAACCAGTGTAAGTTCAAGAAATAATTTTTTGGACGCGGGATTTCTGTAAAGTGTAAATGGTAAGTTTCATAGTGAAACTTATCATTTTTTCCTTTTTTTTCAATAGAAACGCTAAATAACGTTTCTTTTGCTATTTTTTTTTTGTAGGTTTTTTTTGAAATATCGGGCAGTAATATTAAATCTCAATAATGGTAAGTTTCATTATGAAACTTTACTATTTCTTCCTTTTTCCTGAGCTTGGATTTCGGCAAGGAACTTTATGGTAAGTTAAGGGAAGGGATGTGTGAAGCTGGAACTTTTTCTTTTATTTAAGAATGTTACTAATGTTAATGTTCATTTCATTCTTTTCTATAGAGACAACACCTGGACTCAGACTTCGGCTAGGAAACTTGATGAAAGGTAAGTTGTAAATTGAAGGAGTTGGAATTGTGTATTTTGGGAATATCACTAACATTTCTTTTCTTTTTCTTTAGGAACAACTTCACTTAGACTCTTGGTTTCTTTGACACGTGAGTCTTAAGTACGTTTTTTTTATTTTTCTTAATTTAACTACTTTAACAAACTGTTATTAACAATTCACTTTTTTTTCTTTTTTAGCTTAACTAAAAATAAAATAAATTGATGATGGCTTGGGAATTCGGTAAGTCTTAATTTTTTTTTACTAATTTTTTTATTTTTAATGAACCATACTAACAGTTCGTTTCTTTTTCTTTTTTAGGCAGATCTTTCTGGTTTCTGGAGTTTGGACGGCTTGGATTTTTGAATACTTGAATTTGGTAGGAGAGGGGCTATTTTTTAATTATTCTTTAATGAAACATTTACTAATGTTTCGTTTTCTTGCTCTTTTTTAGACAGCTTCTTTTTTTTAAGTCTTTGAACACGTGGATTACGGTATATATTTTTGTTTCTTAAATTTTTTTATTATAATGAAATGTTAATCTAACAATTTCGTTTTTTCATTTTTTTTTAGGCGAGTTTTCTTTGGATGTGACATTTCGGTAAGTAACTTTTTCTTTTATTTATTTTAACAAAATGTTTATTAACGCTTTATTTATTATTCTTTTTTTAGTCAACTTCAAAATTTCCTAGGCACGAATTCGTAAGTTTTTTTATATTTAATTTATTTCTTTTAACAAAAATTACTAATCATATTCATTTCTTTCTTTTTTTTAGTCAGTTTGCTCTTCAGGTCTGAACATGTTAGATTTGGTGGGCTATTATTTTACTTTATTATTTGTTTAAACGAAATGAATGAAGCGTTTTTAACGTTTCAATTTTTTTATTTAGATGGTCGGGCTTTTGGTATGGAATATCGGTAGGAAAAATCAAAAATATTTTTTTGAATTTATTTCTTTTAGCAAAATGTTCTCACTGACATTTCAATCCTTCTTTTTTTAGGCGATCAGATTATTGGATGCGTAGATTTTAATTGGTATTAGAATTTTTCTTTGATTTATTTCTTTTTAACGAAATGCTTTATTAACGCTTTGATTTATCTTTTTTCTAGACGCTCAGATCTTTGGACGCATAGAATTTTGGTAAGGAGAATTTTTTTTGAATATATTTCTTTTAGCGGAACGTTTTTATTAACGTTTCAATTTTTCTTTTTTTTAGACGACCTGGTCTCTATATGTAGTGATGATCTGTGGCTTGTGGTGGTCTGTTCTGCCTTCAGTTTTTTTATACCGCACTTTCTGCTACAACCAGAGAATGCATTATTTAATTTTGTTTCTTTTTGGCTGTTACTGAATATAATATCTTATTATATATGGAATTTCGCAAATTTCTAATTTAAATAGTAGTAAGGTCTGAAAAAGTAAATTAGTCATAATATAAAGATACTATATATTATATGTAATATAATAGAAAAATGTATAAAATATAATAATAAAATATAAATTATGCCTTAATAAAATATCAATACTAAAATGGTGTTTATTATATAATTAATTTAAGTAATTTAATTATATTAATTTCTATTAATCAATTAGCAATAAAAAAATAATGCTTATCGAATACAAGCTGCGTTGAAACTTGTTTAATAAGCACTTAAATTAAATATTCTTAAAGCATTTAATAAATGGTTGGTAAATGCTTAGTTTAACTTCGTGATGTCTAATAAACCTTTCCCACTAGCAAGGATTCCCTATCATAAAATTTTTATAGAATCCTTAAGGACTCTAAATTCGCTAATAAGGAATCCTTAAAGTATTTTTTATTTATATTTGTCTATTATTATATTATTTAATTTATTAATTTTATTTATTATATTTTATTTATTATTATTAATACATTTATTTATTATGTTCTATATATTATTATATATTCTTTTTAAAGCTAATTAATCAAAAGTATTAAATAAAAATAGCTTCAATAATTAAATATTAAAACCTGTCTAATTCTATTAATTTTAAAATTATTATTACAACTCCTATTAGTTGCATCAAATTTTGGTACTGACTCCGTATTTAAAGCCCAAAATTGAATATCTATAAAAAAAAAATAAAAAGAGCATCATTAATATCTTTGAATAAAAACAAAATCAAAGAAATTTCTTTAAATATATGTACCTGATTTCATGTCAAAATATCCAATCTCAAGCAATATTCAAGTTCAAAGTTAATATCTATAGAAGAGAATTAAAAATACTATTAGTATTATTCTTTTAATTATTAAAAGTAATTCCTTATTACCAAATTTTCATATATCTAATATTCAAATAACCAAGTCCATTTATAAAAGAAAAATTGAACTGTTAAAAATAGTTCATTAAAAAAAATAAAAAATGAAAATTAATTTCACTGAAAGACTCAAAGTCTAAAATATTTTGTCAAAAGAATATAATATTTTTGCCAAATTTTACATCTAAAGAGCTGAAGAATAACGAAAAAAAAGAAATTAGTAACTGTTTAAAAGACATACTTTACTAAAAATTATAGTTTTTTTGATATGTATTTGAAATCATTTTGCTATAATTTTGATATTTATTTTATATTTATTACATTATAATTTTGAAACTATCACAAATGATGTTATCTATAATTGTAATTTCATATCAAATCATTTTATAATACTTTTAAAATTGTTTTGTAATTGTATTCAATTAAATATGCAATTAATTTATAATTGATGTTAAATATATGTTGTAACTATTTTATAATATATTTATAATCATTTACAAATACATCAAAGATATTATGAATGCTTTATAAAAATATATTTAAAATGTATTTTAATTCAGTATATAATTACTTTATAATTAGTTATTAATATATTTGTAGCTTATTTATTAAACATTTGTAATTGCTTTTTTATATAATATATATGTAACAACAATTAATTCTAAATATATATATAACTTATTCTCTATTCACGATCAGTCAAGTTGATCACTTCAATCATAAAATTAGTATCGTCACGTTCATCTTATTTGTCTTTTCTGTAGCCAATGAAATTTATCAACAATCATGGGCTGTGTGATGTAAGAGAATACGATCCATTCAATAATCTTGAAGATTCCAACCTTTCATGGGATCAGCTAACGCCAGTATTTCAATTTCTTGTTACATTGAAGATCATATCCATTGTTCTTATGGTTATCCCAAGATTAGCGTCCAAATAACTCACAAGTCTTCATTTTTCATCTTCAACACTCAATTTCTTCTCTTATCATTAAATATTCCTAGAATTGTTAAATAAAATGAAAAGTTGGTGCTTAATTTTAGTATTTTGTGCTTTAAATCACATGATATGCAGATTCTGATCTGTTTAACCTAAAAAGTCAAAGGTTGGTTTCTATAAAAAAATGGAGCATTAGTAATATTTACTACTGTTCCTAATTTTAAAAAAGACCCCGATCCTTTTTTAATTACCTTTCAAGGCATTTCATTGGTTCTGAAGCGTCTTGAAAATTCCTACAATAAGAAAAAATAAATGGAATATTAGTAATGTTTACTAATGTTCCTAATTTAAAAAAAGTAACTTTAAGTACCTTCCATCAGTTCCAAAGTGTCCGAAAGGTTTCTGCAATTTAAGAGAAGTTCCTGGCGGTTGAACCTTTCTTCAAAATTTAATTTTATACTAGCATCTTTTCAAAACTTTGTTATCAGAAAAAAAAAAAATTTTTTTTACATAAAATTACGTGACTTCGATTAATCTTCATTCCTATCCCTATCTATCTCCTATTTTCTTCTTTTCTTCTTTTCTTCACCTTCACCTTCGCTTTCTCAGATTCACTTCTTGATGGTGACTCTACCAATACTTGTTTTTCTCCTACTTCTACTTTATCGGTCCTCCAATTTTCTTCTTTCAACTTTTTTTTGAAATCATTGTTAAGGGTTGTTATATTTCTGGAATATTTTATTTTGTTTCGTCATACTGATGACTTTTGGCTCAAAAAAAAGAAATTATTTTCTTTAAGCACCCAATCTTTTAAGGACCTGACTATATCATACTCTGCTCATATTACACTCACCACTTCCACGTTAATTTTTTCCATTCCATCATGTTGGAGTTCTGATCAAAAATCCCTTTTATTTCTTCCATTTAACCTTTCCTTAACATTGGCAGGCGCATTTGTTGACGATGCTTGATATGAAATATACTTTATCTTTTCGTTTGTTTAATAATTTTTTATAATCTCAACAACTTTGTTCAGCGCTACATTATCTCATTTTAAAGGTTTGCTAGCTAACTCTTCCAAATTACCTATTCCTATATCATCATCATCGTCTCCATCACTGTCACTATCTACGTTCTCCTTTTCTTGTAATCACCTAGACCTTGATTCATTTCTGCAATAATCATTTCTGTGGGTAATAAATTTTGTTTATTCCTTGTCACCATATTTGATAGTCCCATGTAAATCCTTTCTGGAGGCGTTTGTGGCATAAGAATATCATTTACCTTACTGTGCAAAGAGTTTGCAGCTCTCTTGTCCTCTATTCTCTTCTTATCCTTATTACGTTTCCCATCTCTATATACTGTCTTGAAATTCCTTACCATCCATACTTTCTCCAAATCATTTTTCTGCATGAAAGCCTGCACCGTATTTTCCATTGTTTTTGAATCACTAAAGTATCCGATCACTTTTCAATTTTGCGTGATCCTGATGAATTTAATGAAAGCTGCAGTATATTCTGTCTGGGGTTTTTTCAAAAATTCATATTCACTTGTTCTCTTTAATTCCAAGAGATCCTGCTTCAACCCCTCCGGCCAAGGTAGAAGTACTGGAATTTCTTCTTAGAAAATGGATTATTTGGAAATTCTTTATTAAGGTCTTTACCTAAATATGTTATAAGCTAGAACAAGCAGAAGAACAACAAGGCCATACAGATAAAATTAAACAAAGGGCCAAGGAATAATGATTAGAGAACAAACCCTTTATAGAAGACTCCAATACACTCCATCTTTTCGTTAGTTAGGTCCCTGACCAATTGCCATTTATCTCATTCTTGTCATGCTTTCAATCCCGTTCTGGCATCAAACCATCTAATAAAATTTTTAAAAATTTTTGCTAAATACAAATTCCGAAGGTGCCATTGCTTAGAAAGCGAGCCATTTTCTAAAAAAAATTTAAAGAAGAACGTTAGTCAACGTTCTTAACGAAATAAAACAACAAAATAAAACTAAAAAATATAAAGAATGTTAGTAAACATTTTTTAACAAAATAAATAATAAAAATTTTTTTCTGGCTTTACCTTACGTCCATTTTATCTTAAAAGATCCAAGGATCCATTTTCTAAAAAAATAAAAATGTAAAGAACGTAAATAAACATTTTTAATGAAATAAATAAAAAAATTTTTTTTCAGTTTTACCTTGCGTCCATTAGTTCTGAAAAGCCATTTTCTAAAAAATAAAATATAAAGAAAAGAACGTTAGTAAATGTTCTTAACAAAATAAATAAAAAAAAAATATTTCTTTTCTAGCTTTACCTTGTAATCCATTTCGCAAACAAACTTTTACAAATTTTTTAGTGTTGAAGTTTTTAGTATATTTCAAGTGAAAACAGTTTAAAAATCACTACAAGGCAAAGAAATTCTTAAACAAGAGTGGAAGTTTTTTTTTTCATAAAACATAAATCACCAAAATTTGTGCAATAAATAATAAATATTTAGAAGAATTTATAAGAAAGTTTAATAATAAAAATAATAAAGAGATATAGATCTGGAAGAAAGAAAAATTCATTCGATGTTTACTTCAAGATCAAATATTTATGCTTATGTAGCTTCTGTGCCTATTATGCCNGGATAGAACCGAACCGAACCGGACGGTTCCAAGTCCAAAACCGAACCGAGAACCGAACCGAATTTTTTGCCGGTTCCGGATCGGTTCCCGGTTCAAACCGGAACCGTTCGGAGCTTTAGGTAGTTATTTATTTGCATCTGTGCATTTTTGAACTTATTCATTATCATATCTTTTAATGTATGTCGAGATGGTATTTTATATCTTGGTTGAATGGATGCTATAAATTTTTTAAAATTCTGATTCTCAACAATTGTAAATGGTTGTTGGTCAGTAATAATCCAATTGACAAAAAGCTTATGTTTCTCTTTATGTGTTTCAGCTGTCCAAGGTATTGTCCTAGTTTCTTCTTGTTCTAAGTTATTATATACATTAGGATGTTTTGATTTTAAATGACGTTCAAGAGTTGTGGTAGAATTTTTTTGCGGAGAAATGGCCTTCACAAATTTTACATAAAATAAAAGTTTCAGTTGTTTCATTTTCCTCTTCAATTGTCTGTTTTTCAAAATGCTTCCAAACTCGAGCACTCCTCAATTCTTTGGAACTAGTGTTAGAAATTTCAGTTTCAGTTTCAGTAATTTGAATTTCAGCCATTTCTGCTACTATTTCACTGTCACTTTTCTCATAATCCTCATCATCATAATCAATAATTTATTCTTCTAAAAAGGAATCACATGGAAAAGTATCAAAGTTATCCTCTTGCTTTTGCTTTTGCTCTTGCACTTTTTCTTGTTCTTCAGCTATAATTAGAAACCAAAATAAAAATTTTAACAATAAAAAAATAGCGATGGGAAAAAAATGTTTTTAACTCCGCATTTTTGCATAAATATAACGTGGTTAATTCATATTTAGCTAAGCCATGATTATCATCAAAATTTTTAAACTAAATACGTATATTAACTCATATGAAAATGATCATCATATGGTTAATTAAGAGATCATATGATTATCATTAATATCATTAATACAATAATAGGTAAGTGTTATAAAATAAAAGATATGTGATCGTCACATACAGATGATATTTAAAAAAAAACCTGAAAAAACACGAAACTACAAAAAAAAAATTCAAAAATAATAAACTTGTACAAAAACAATGTGATAATATATACTTATAATTGTATAATTGCAAAATAGACCGTTTTAATTAGTGGTAAAAATTCTAACTTTTACTTTAAAAATGTTTAAATAATTGAGAAGTTTTTGATTATAATATATTTTAATATTATTAAGAACTAAAATACTATTTTTATTTAGAAAAGAATTTATTTATATATAATAGTTATATTTATTAAATATAATATTTAAACATAAATGTTATAATTCATAGAGTATATTTGCTAATAAATAAGATGCAATTTATTTAGCATAAGTCTGATTTTTGTGATTTTCCTTTAAATAAGAAGCATTATTTTATCATTCTGTATTCGATAGTATGTACATACAGCTTTTTTAATAAAGAAAGAATCATATATGCACGTTATTTATAACGTGTAAACGATTAAAAAATTTTTTAGCTACAATTATACAGGAGTATTCAAGAGATGATATAGATATACAAGAATTAAAAGTTAAAATTAATGAGCTTGGTATGTGGGATATTGGACTCTTATATGATTTTACATTTTTAATGAATAATCAAGTTAGTTGTCAGTTAATAGAATTATTAAGGTGCTATAAAATAACTGAAGAAAAATTGTTGTATAAGGTACTGAAACAAATAACTGGGAGAGTTTTATTAGAATTCAAAGTGCTTATTTGGGAACCAAGGAACGAGTTACAAATAAAGGAAGAAAAGTGTTGCGGTATTAGCGTTAAAGATAAAAAAGCTAAGTCACATAGTAAACGCACTGAAGTGGGTGTTAAAAATGTTGACTTGGCTGTAATATGTTAGAAAGTAATTGGAATAAATGGAATGATTTGGCATTCCATCGTGGTGGTCATTGGGCAAATTTTTAGGTAGATCATGACAGTCACCTTTGAATTTTTGGTCGCATCATGGTTTTTAACAATGATGTGATCGTTTAGGTGACAGGTCGACTTGTTCTTTATGAAAAGTAGTCTTGTTTCATAATGTTTAATTCTTATATGTATTTGTTTATCTTATATTTTGTAAGTTTATATATGTAAGTAAGCATGATTATAATAGGACATGATCGCATCTATAATANAAAGAAGCAATATTTTTTTTTTTTTTTAAATGATTTTTTATATGGTTTAATAAGGGCAGTGACATTTATTACGTAATATTCATTCACTATAAGCTTATATCCACCCACCCCCATATAATATGAAAAATCTTACATTACACTTATATGTTATATAATCTTCAAATACCCTCCCACCCCCTAAAATATTATGTAATAAATATCACTACCCTAAGAAGCACTATTCTTTTTGGATATAATAATAATAATAATAAAAGATATAAATGTTAAACATAGTAAAATTTATAAAATAATATAGTTACTACTTGCAAAATAACAAATTCTTAAATCTTTATTTTATATAATTACTTTTATAATATCTATAGCAGTCCTATAGCAATTATATTTTTACTTTAAAATAACTATACAAATGTATTTGATATTGTTGTATACTTATCTTTAAAAAATTCATTTATAAATACTAATTAATCAGTTTTATATAAATCTATAAATATAACAAATACATCTTTTAATTTATTTCTTTCAGTAGCTGCTTTATACAACTAATAAAATGATAAAAAAATTAGTTTATTGATTTTATTTATATAAATATATCAAATTGCAAAAGTGTATATCTTTTTATATATAATTTTATAATATAAATAATTTAAGATATTGCTAAAGTTTACTAATAATAATTATTACTACTGATAAGAGCACTGTCAGATATTACCTAATATCACTTTAGTATAAGAGTTTACCCCCCTAGGTAAAATATGTTATATATATAATTCCTTATATAATATTATATGTAATCTAAGATCTTTAGTTACCTTTCCTCCTCCTAAAATATTAAGTAATATCTGGCAGTACCCTAATTGTTATCATTTAATTCTAATTAAAATTAATAATTTCAGTTAGAATTAAATTTATTTATTAAAAATTTAGATAATTTAAATAACAAATATGTAAAATAATTACTATTAGATTATTCTAAATACATTAAAATTTGAAAATTTTTAATAAAAAGAATTTTTTTTTAAGTAATTTACTTACAAAATCAAATTTTTATGTTTTTCTTAAAAAATGCTTAAATAACAACCTTTTTAATATAAGAAAACCTTATTTTTATATAATAAAGTTAAAAAAAATGTGTTGCTTAAATCAGTATTTTAGTCAAAATATTGCATTTTTAAACTTAGAAAATCTTTTTTCTCTTATAAAATTATATATAAAAATATAAATTAAAATTTTTTAGACTGGTAATAGTTACTACTGGTGATATTTAGCAATTTTCAATAATTTATAATAAAATTATTATTGCATTGTATTAAGCCATTGATTTATTGGAAATATTTATTAATTATTTTGAGTAATAAAATAATAATAAAGTTTAAAAGCTATATTTAATTTTAATGGATATAGATATTATATACAAGCTTATATAAAGTAAAAAATTATATAAAAAAAAAATATATGTATATATAGATGGGAACTGGGAAGTAAGTGAAAATAATAAAAAAAATTAGTTTTTTATTTTCTAAAATATGTAAAAATCACCATAGTATTTTAATAATTAGACAATTTTCAGCTTTTGATACAACGAACCCTCCTCAAATTCGTTACATGATTAGCGAAGAATTTAAAAAATTTAATTGGCTTATTCGTTATAATGAGGGATATTTGATTGGTTATATTTCACGTGTAGAAAATTCAAAATTTATAATTTATACTTGTGCACATTGATTTGATAAAAAGGAATTAAAATTTTTTTACTGGTATTAGCAGTTAGTGTATAACCATGGTATAATTTCAAATAGCTTACCCTATTTTTTATTTTGTCTCATGTAACAATTTCCTCAGTTAAATCGGAACAGACAGCAAAGAAGTAATTTTTATGGGTTTAGAAAAAGAAATTCATATGAGATATATGGAGAATGAAATGAACCATGCGCAGGAGGGTATTGATGTCAACCCTATAATGTTAAAAGATTTATGGAAAAATTAAAATTTGGACTAGTGAAAATGAAAATATTGATAATTTAATACAAAAAAATGACAACATAATAGAGTGGATACCTTTTGGAATTTTTAAAAATGTTACTTCTATTATCAAAAGTGGTGTTTGGTGAAATTTATTCAGCCGATTTACCTGAAGGGTATATTATATTAAAAATCGAAGATGGTACAGAATGTTATTAAAGAAGTTAAATAATACTTAATATAAGTATAAATTTTTTAAATGAGGTAATTAAAATAATTTACTCTATATTAATCCAATTTTTATTTGTAATTAATTTCCCTTTTAATAATTTGTATTAGATTTAATCTTCATTATTTATTGGAATGACTTAAGATCCGGTATTGGGATAATATTAAGGCTTTAAAATATTGCATACCTGAATATTTAAGAAATTTTTTAACAATTTAATAATATATATTCAAGATTTACGATTTATTAACTGGACTTCTAAAAGTTTTGCGTAGATATCAATATGCAAAATGAATTTTTATTAGAAGAAATTCTTTATAACGATATTTCTCATTAGTTGTTGAATGGCTAAAGCAGGAGATAGAAAGACTGCTTTAGAATTATATCAAATAATAAAAAATAGTATCATGATAGAGTATCTGATAATGAACTTATAAATCAGAAAGGAATGAAATATATCTGAGAAGTTTATACTAGCAGACTTTTAAATTCAAAAATCTCCCATAACCAACAAATTCCAAATTAATGAATTGTTTTTTATATAGATGCTCTATCAGCAAGAAACAAATATACATTTAATTATTTCATTAAATGAATTAGGTAAGACAATTTTAAAATTATGTTGAGTCATCAAATTTTAATGTGAGATAACAATCTTTTTTTTCTCTCAATTATTTTTATATATTATTAAAAGTTTTTAGAAAGTCTCTATTCATTTTTATCAGATTCAGATCCAATCAAAACAAAAAAAAACGGACTAACGAAGAGGGTGATATTTCAGAGCTTCAAAATTTTCCATTTCCACACTTTTTCTAATTTTACTGCGTAAAATTTCTGTTATTTTAATAAATAAAGGTTTAACTATTCAGTCGATTATCGGAATTTTTTTTTTTAAAAAATTTCCGGTTTAATAAGAATTAAAATGGTAAATTTTACCCGCAGTTATTCATGCGCCGAAGGTTATTTACCTTATTTTTTATATATATACCCAGATTATCCTTTATTTAACGTCCAAATATTTTTTTAATTTGCCATGCACTCTGATGGCCGATCTTAATAATTACCAGTTAAACTCGCTAGACTAAATTGAATAACTTGTACGAATCAAATACAATGATTTGATCGTCAGTAACTCCGAACTGCCTTTCATAATAACCCGTTTGGAAAGTAATAGAAATAAATACATTGTCTTTTTTATGTTTTTACTATCACATTTCATAAATTAATTTTTTGTAATACAATCATACAATTATAAGTTATTTTATATATGATACATTACCCTTTTTAATAATTCTCAATAATCAAAAATTTTGAAACTGGTTCTTCTTTAGGACAGATTATCTGTCATATATAGAGATTGTAACTCAACACAACATCACGTAACACTAAAGCTCTTTGTGGACTAAATATATAATTTTCCCAACGGATGGCATTTTTTTGAGTAACAATTAATTATTTTTATTTTATTAACCATTGATTATTTTATACCTCAATGTTTTTCATTTCTCCTCTTTTTTGTATCGGTTCGATACACTTAAATTGTGCAATTATTTGTTTACGGTAGGTGTTAATGTTAATTTTGTTCGTGCAAAACCTATGGGTGTTTCAACGGGTAAATCGCCGGTATTTTCATTACATAGCCACAGATTTGATTTTATCAACAAGTTCTTCACATATTCTGTTAATTTTTAACATTTACCTTATTTCAAGCCGATCGAGTTTTGAATATATTACTTACCATTTTTTTCATTCATGCACAATATTTCCCATTTGAAACATGTTTGCTTGTGCCGTGTTGGCCGTTTCGGTCTTACGGAAAAAGTGTTCAAAAAAACAAAAGTCTAATAACAAAGTTATTAATATAAAATCAGATTTTCCCGGCGGTAAACAAGACTTGGAGACACCTGAAATTTCTTTTAAACCGGAAAAGGACACTTTGGAACATTTACACAAAATGGAGCAATCTAACAAGTCGCTAGTTAGAGATAAATCTATTAGCCAATCTGTTAAACTTGACGCGTTTGAGAATAATTTTCACCACGCAGACGCGAGAATAGATTCAAACGTAAGCGGAAGTAAAGAACCTTCATTGAGAAGTAATTTTTCACATACTATTGGTCAAAATAATAGGGTAGATAATGAAGTTGTTTCAAATATTAGTCAAGTAACCAACTTGATGAAAAATAAAGCGAAAATTATCAATTCAGAAACTGGAGATGCTGATGATTCTTTCAACCTTACCTACCTCTCCATCAATAATTTTAATCACTTTGCTAAGACAGCTGATACATCATCATCTGATATGATCCAAAGTAAAGATACAATAAATTCTTTTGTGGATTCACAACATTTAACGAGATCCCATTCGGATATTGATTTTTCAATGAATACACAGCCGTTGATCTCTTCCGCTTCAACTCTACACCATGCTTATACTTTCCCATTAGATAAATCATCATATCGCGAGTTAGATGATCGAAATTCATCTATACAAAATACTACATCTGATTCGAATAGAAAGTCCGTAGTAATTTCCGATGAAAAAGTTAAAAATAGTAGTAAAGTTAACACTAGTCTGTCTACAAACATTAATACTACATTTAATAATAATGCTCTTCAGATAACTAGCACCAAGATAATTACTTCAATTGATAATGAACCTGCCAAAAAAGAGATAAATAAGATCAAACCGCATATCCTTTCTAGAAGTATACCTGTTTCTTCTTCGCCTGTTGAGTTTCATTCCCCTGATGATATCTTAGTAGATCCATGTATCGCGCGGGGTACCATACTTTATAAAGTATCAGCAAAAAAGAAGCAGCGACGAACATTTAGAATTGACGTTGATCAAGGTCGCATATTATGGGATTCGAAAAAATCTGGAAAAGGTATTTCGATTTTCATCTTGATATTGATTAGACTTTAAATTGCATAATTACTTATATAAGATCATCTTTTTATAGTCAATATTGAAAATATCAAGGAACTTCGAATTGGGGAGGCGATCCGTAATATTCGTATTCATGCAAAGATCGGCAAAGAATTTGAAGATCGATGGTTTACAATAATTTATGTTGAAGCAGGAAAATATAAATCACTTCATCTTCTTGCTGAGACTGCTGATTTATTCAATAAATGGGTAGATAATCTGCAAAGATTATATCTACATAGAAAAGATATGATAGGAGGATTAGGACATTTAAGGAAAAGACAGTCCATTTGGCTGAAACAGCATTGGAAACAAGCTAATAAAGATGGGGATTCAAAATTAGTATTTGATGAAGTTTCTAGATTATGTCGTCAACTGAACATAAATATGTCAAGGCAATCTTTAAAAGCAAAATTCGGTGTTAGTAATACATGCACATATATATATATATTTCGTGTACATCTTTTTATAATATTTATTAAATTCGTAATGATTTTGATCTAATAGGAAGCCGATACACAAAATAATGGGTGGCTTGATTTCACCGACTTTCAACGATTTGTAAAGATAATTAAGAAGCGACCAGAATTAGATAACCTTTTTGAGTCTCTTGCAAAAACTAAAAAAGATATCTTGACTCTGCAAGAATTCAAAGATTTTCTATTGATTGTACAAAAGGTATGTGAACAATTACTTTAACTACAAATGAATGATGCTTTGGACTTACCATTTTAGTTCTGTACAGTGTAATTTAAAGGAAGATTATGATAACCTTTATTATAAATTCTGTGATAAAGACCTTAATGAAATGAGCTTGGAAGGATTTAATAGCTTTTTGATGTCTAGCGATAATTCTGTTTTTGCTTCAGATCATGCCAAACTCTATCAGGATATGACTCATCCTTTATGTCATTACTTTATCGATTCTTCTCATAATACGTATGTTAGTATATTTATCGACTGTGTATTTAACCATTTTTGACCAATTAAACTAAATTATTTTTAAATTAGGTATCTTCTCGGTCATCAATTGACAGGAGAATCTTCCATAGAAGGTTATATCCGTGTTTTACAACGAGGGTGTCGATGTGTTGAAAGTATGTTCAATTAGTTATTACTATCTATAAAAATTTTATAATATCCTTCTTTAATTAAAATTTTACTATTTCAAAATAATAGTCGATTGTTGGGATGGGCCTGATGGACCTATAGTTACACATGGTCATACTTGGTTCGTTATAAAATGTCCATTATAAATTTCCTTTCATATATAACGAAGATTAAAATTTTTTTCTAAAAACAGGACTTCGAAAATTTTATTTCAAGATGCCATTTCTGCTATTCGTACTTATGCGTTTAAAGCAAGTCCTTACCCGTTAATTTTATCACTTGAAGTTCATTGCTCTATCGAACAACAAGAACACATGGCGAAAATTTTATCTGAGATTTTAGGCGAGCATCTTGTTACCAAATTTTTTTCGGACGATGAATCAGAACTGCCCAGCCCCGATAGTTTGATGTATAAAATTTTATTAAAGGTAAGTTAAAGCCAATCTTTTTTTTTTAAAATATTTTCAATTTTTTCAAGGAATCTAAATCTCGATTTTTATAGGGAAAAAATCTTCCACATGGTACAGCGGAAGATCTTTTTGATTCTGCTACTGACACAGAATCTGCCACAGATCCAGAATCAGATGTTGAATCAAAAGGTAATATAATCGTGTTATATTAAAACATTCGATTAAATTATTAATTTATCTAATCTTTTTAAGATAACGCAGATAAAAAACATAAAAAGGGCAAATCAAAAGTTGCCAAAGCTCTCTCTGATTTAGTAGTTTATTGTTCAGCTGTCAAATTCAAAGGATTCGATAATAGTCGTAGGAATTGTTATTACTTATTTTTTAATACTTTGTATTTACATTATTTCGCTAGAATACTAATCAAAAAAAAAATTTGCTGTAATAATAGTTAACAAAGGAAATTCTAAGTTTTACCACATGTCTTCATTTTCTGAGAGAGTTGCAACTCGACTTACCAAAACAGATAAGCAGTCTTTTATCCAACATAATTCTCGACATTTGTCACGTATCTATCCATCAGGATATCGTATAGCTTCTTCAAATTATGAACCACAACATCAATGGATGGTTGGAAGTCAACTGGTTGCTTTGAATTGGCAGACATTTGGTTGGTTGCTATTTCTTTTAGAATTATTCAAGATCTCATAATCATTAAACTTTTTAACGGACTTTTATTCAGATCTCGGTATGCAAATAAATCAAGCTATGTTTAGCGTTAATGGTAGATGCGGATATGTTCTTAAGCCTGAAAATATGCGTAATTTCGAACTTACAACTACCACAAATCCTTTAACACAATATACTCTGGAAGTTGAGGTAAAAAAAAACATATTATTTATTTATTGTTCCATATAATAAGCAAATTATAATTATGAAATACTTAAATAGATTATATCTGCCCAACAACTTACTGGGCCTAAAGATTTGTTTAAAGAGATTATTGATCCTTACGTTGAAGTGGAATTATTGATGCCGGGCGCAGATGTCATTAAAAAGAAAACAAAAACTGTTCTTGATAATGGTTTTAATCCAATTTGGAATGAAACTTTGACGTTTACCATCGATTTTGAATACCTGGAACTTGTATTCTTACGGTAATATTATATTATATTCTATTACAAATTTTACAAATTATTATTAAAATTAATTTTTATTTTTGCTAAACTCAAAGATTTACCGTATGGGATGAAGATGTAAGATTAAATGAATTTATTGGCTATTATTGTATCCCGGTAGCTAGCTTACAACAAGGTAAAGTTCTAGGATCTACTTCTGTATTTGTTTAGTTCACAACTTAAATGTATATATATATATATATAGGTTATCGCCATATTCCTCTTAATGATGCAAATGGTGAACAGTATCTGTTCACAACCTTGTTCGTTCGGTTATCGCTAAAACCCATCATATAAATTTTTTTATTTGAAAAAAACCACATTTGATATACTTAATTTATTAGTCAGTGCTTATTCCTTTATATACTTTTGGGAAAAAAGTTGTAGTGATTCGAAAAAAAAAACCATTTTTTTTTCTTTTCTTTTGGTATTTTTTTTGTAAAGATTTTATTTTTAATACATTTATAGAACATTATTGACATTATTGATTGTATCATATTTTCGATATAATATATATTCCTTATAATAGTTATTCAAATAAAAAATCATTTTAATATATATATCATTTACGTCATGAAATAAAAAGGAAATAGTGATTAAGAAATAATTTTATATACAAAGCTCAACTAATATCAAATAGATAGTAGCAAAAAAAAGTTTATAATATTCTCTCATATTAATAAGAAAACACTGATTTCATAGCAACTTATTACGGATAACCTGGTACGATAAATTTCATAATTATGCAGTAGCCTGTGTTGAAGATTGTTGACTAATATTATTGACATTTGGCGCTGATAATGCACTACGTTTACTCTTATAATCTTTAATAGCAGATTTAATAGCATCTTCTGCGAGCACTAAAAATATAAACCAAAATAATTGTTAAAATTAATATATTAAGTAAAGTTGAATTAACAATGTTAAGACTTACTTGAACAATGAAGTTTGACAGGTGGTAGGCTCAACTCTTTTGCAATTTCAGTGTTTTTAATTTTTGAGGCTTCGTCTAAAGACATCCCTCGTACACGTTCTGTCATATAACTTGAAGAAGCAATCGCGGAACCACATCCAAACGTCTTAAATTTAACGTCTACAATTTTATTAGTTCGTTCATCAACTCGAATTTGAAGTTTCATAACATCACCACATGCTGGTGCACCAACTAGTCCAGTTCCTACATCGGAATCTGTTCTTGGTAATGATCCAACATTACGAGGACGTTCATAATGATCAATAACCTACAAGGAATTATGAATTAATTTTCTTTATTAATTAAATATTCTAATTATAATGAGAGGAAAAAATAAAATTTTGGCAAAATCAAGTACATAATTACTGATAATTTAAATAAACCGTTTTAAACAAACTAACCTTTTCATGGTATGAACGTGAAAGATTAAATGCTATAGGACGAGTGCTTGCACGAGTTGTAGTTTGAGATATCAAACCAAAGTTTCGTGCTAAGATTGAACGCAACATGTTTTATAATTTTATTTACTTAGAAGGAAAAGAATAAGTTTTGGTGGAATAGAAAAAAAAATTTTGAAGAAAAAAAAAACGGAAAAAAAATGAGATTTTTTTTCACAACAAAGGTAAAGAAGTTATTTATATATTTCTTTTTTAGTTAGCCACATAAAAAAATGGAATTACTAATAATTGATGATTACACAATAATCTGATAACATTCTTATCTGACCGTTCCACATTTGTTTTATCAGATTTCTATATAGTAATCTGATATAAATAATCTGATAATAATTCTGATGTAATATGAAGATCTGTTTCATGTTAAATTGTTAAATAAATGGTACTCTAATTATTTATATGAATTTAATTTCAATTGATAATACAAAATAGGGATAATCTAAGCTTAAATGGCTAATAGTAAATGTTAGTAACCTCTCACGTATTAGTGTAGGCGGAATTTCATTAACCCTTTGTTCCTTGGTTTTTTTTTCGTCAAGTAAAATTTTTAAAAGTTGACAAGTAAATGTTTTTTAAAGGCTCAAAAATTGATTCTTTTTCGTCAGAAAAAAGAAGAAACTTCAAATGGTAGGTTCAATCTAACAAAAGCAGGACAAAATGACGAGAAAGCATCTAGAATGTACTATAAAAATTTAATTGTTCATATTTAAAATTTTTTTTAATTTTTTTTCAAGTGATACAGAAATTTCGGGAGGGATTGCTGATCATAATACCGACATTATTTATTATTTATTATTGATGAACGGATTTACTGATATAATTAACCGATAGTTGCCAAATAAATATTTTCCGGTAAAGGTTAAATCAGTTTCTCAGAATGTAAATAATATAAAAATAATTTTCTAATTTTATTAAAATGCATATTAGTATTATTATAGCCAATTTTATTAATGTGAATACTTTTTTATTTATATTATTTTCGGTTGGTTTTGCTAATTGAAATAATTGAAATTAGTTTTGTTGATATATTCCATTTTTTTTTCTTTATTAATTTTTTTTTTGAATTTCTAATTTTAACCGGAAGGAAATTCCTCCCGTGACGAATAAGGGTGACGAATATAATTTTTAATAAAAATTTGTATCACCAGATTAAATGAAGACCGTGGGGTGTGATACGTTGTGATAAATAAACCTAACCCAACCTAATCCTACCCTAAACCCTAATCTTAACCCCTAACTCTATTAAATATTAGGGGGAGGGAATTTCCCCTCCAGTTATTTTCTTTTTTTTTTATAGGTGATTTTTTAAAAATTTACTAAATAATCTGAATTGGATTATTTTACTTAAACATAAAAATATATATAGATTATAAAATATTTAATATAATATGAGTTTTTTTTGTTTAAAATTTTAGCAATTATTATTGCAATTATTATTAAAATAAACTTTTTAGATTTTATAAAAAATTAATTTTTTAAATATATTTATTTAAACATTTAAAATTTTAGAAAAAATTGATTTTATTATAATATATAAAATTATTTTAATTTTCTTTGATATTACTTAATATTATACTAATATTATTAATTTAATTTTATATATTTATTTAGTAATTAAAATAAATTTAAGATTATCTTAATTATATATTGGTATTACTAGAGAAAAAAATAATAATAATAATTTATATAAGTTTATTATATTTGGCAATTTTTTTTTTTAAAAAAAAATTTAATATTTAAGAGTTGTAATATATATCAGTTGATATTTTAGAGATGGTAGATTAAGTAAAATTTTATATATTAAAATTAAGCATTTTTATTGATTAAAATTAATATTATATATAATTATATATAGTAAAAATTTATTATAAGTAAAGCTTATTATAGTAAATTTGACTTACAATAAACTTTTTTTATTTTCCAGTTTATTTTATATTAAAATTTGCTTATTATAGTAAATTTACTAGTAAAATTTTAATATTATATATGGTGAACTTTTATATTTATTATAATAAATATTATATAAAATCATTAAATATATTTAAAATTGCTGAAAAAACTAGAGGATTTGGCAAATTGGCAAAATGCCAAAATAGCAAAATTTTGCCAAAACTATATTGATAAGTTGGTGAAACTTTAAAGAAAAGTGAAATTTAACAAAACCTATTATAAATGCCAAAACTGCCAAAACTTTACTGAAACTATAATAAAATCTTGAAAAGGTTTAGATAAGCAATCTTAAATATAATAACAATGAAAGATTATATTATAAAATGCCAATAAAATACAGTTATTATTAGATAAAAAAATTATAGATATAATAATTTCAAATTCTGAAAATAATAATACAAAAGAGAATGAAAAATTAGAAATAATACTTTTATTAAGCTTTAAGAAATTTAGAAAAATAATTTAAAATCTACTAATATAATTAAAATGGCTGAAACTAAGGGTTTACTATAACAAGCTTTAACTGTACTATTGGTTAAAAAAATCTTACCTAGAGGTGAAAAGTAAGGTTTCTTATGAAAAATAATTATATATTTAATTTTAAGTATAATATTACTATAAAAATTCAAATAAAATATTATAAAATAATAAAATAATAATAATAATATAATTATATAATTTTAAATTGATCAGTTTTTTTTTTTAGTTTTGTAAAATTATGAATTGTATTATTTTTAAATACAGTTGTTTAAAAATTTAAATTGCGATCACGTGATTTTTTAACAAAAAATCTCATCTTTTTAAATAATTTCGTAGATTTTCCCAGCGTCGATATATGTTTCATCAACCATCTCAAATTCGAGCTTATAACCGGTTTGTCACGGGCTGAATAAATAATATATACGGAATATTTGATTTGTTTCCTTGGATGTTCTGAGATGAGATTATTGATAATCTCTTTATAGGTAAAATGACGATAACAAGCAGATATAGAACGGATACATCAATTTGATTCGTGATCAAGTTGGATTTGAGAGAGGAATATTTGTATAGGGGTTGAGGTAGAGTGAATAGTCTGATATTAGGTGTAAATATGTATAATCGTGAAGAAGTATTTGATTAAATTTTTTTTTATTTATGAATACTTAAGTAGACCAGATGATAGATTTCAAACGCGAATTCATAATTCTGAAATAAGCTTATTATCAATCCATAGTTCATAAAATAAAAAAAAAAAAATTTCAGACTTGATTTTTAATAATGAATTAATTCATTTTATATCAGCCTCAAATTTTTTTTAATCATCCCATATCCCAACTTTTAACTTTAAACCCCATTAACCAACAACGAATTTACATAAAACTATTACGTTGTATAATCCTTCGTTGTACTACTTCCCAATTAATACAATCCCAAAACCCATCAATGTAATCTTCTTTACCTCTAATACCAAAATCTTTAATATAAGCATGTTCCCACATATTAAGGCATAACAAAGGATTAAATCTACTTTTATGTGAAGGTTGTAAAGCCAATTTTATAAATGGTGGTGGAGATGGTTTATTTGCACCAACATCTAATACATTATTCTTTGATGAAGTTAAAAATGGTGAATTATATGGCATCGGATGATTATTTGGATCTTTTTCTTGAGTTCTCGTGACATCAAGAGTAGTCCCTATAATATTATAATAATTAAATTTGTTTTTGTTTTTTGTTGATTTTAGAGAATATTATATTACCTGCATTATAAGTGTTTACTACACGAAGAATATGAAATTCCGTTTCTACAAGCCTAATGAGATGTTAAATAATATATAAGTAAAAAATTTTCATAAAACCTCCAATTAATATATAATATTTTCTTACCATGTCCATCCTGAACCAAATATACCTAACGCCATATTTTTAAACTATATATCAGTGAGTATAAATTTAAAAACTTCGAAAAATATATAAATAAATGTATACTTTACATGTTCCTTAAAATTATCGATAGCTCCAAAATCCTTTTTAATCCTTTCATTTAAATCCATAATATCAACTTCTTTACTGGAATTTTTTTTTGTCTACATAGATAAAAATATATCAATCATAAATTAATTAAATAAAATTATATTAATCATTCAATCATTTCAAATTTCAAAAGTAAAAAAAAAAAATAATTCAACCTTACCAAAGATTGAAAAAAAAAATCATTATTCCATATTTGAGAAGCATGATTAAATATTAGAGCATTTTCTGGTACTTGAGCAGTTTTGTCGATTAGTTCAAAAATGGTATTATCCATAAATTCCGTTTGATCTAAAAAAAAAAAGTTTTCTTTTCTCAATTAATATAATTAATTATAAATATTTTTTTTTTTTTTTTTTCTAATCAGAATTTTAAATTCAAACCTGTAAGATTATTTAAATCTTCAATAAGAGATCCTTGATATTCATATAATTCATGTAAAGTTACGGGACTAAATAAAGGTTCTAAACCTTCTTCAATAGGAAAAGGGAGTGGATTTAAATAATGTGTATTACGAATGAATGATTTGTTCTCATAATGTTGTAATAATAATTTTTTTCTTGGTCTTGTTCGGTTTATTTGTAATAATTGAGAATTTTTACTTAAAATTAATGTATGAAAATTTTTTTTATAAATTATTGAAGGAAAAGTTGTTTTTAAAAAATTTTTTGATATAATATTAATTCGAAAAAAAACCATTTTTTGAAAGCATTAAAACATTCGTGAAAAAAAAAAAAAAAAAAAAAGATTTAATCAAGATGGGTGGCTTAGCGATGATCTCCGAATTAGTTATAAATTTAAACTTTTTTAAACTTGCATCTCATGACCGAACATTAATTATTTGACATGAATTTATACCATTTCAGGGGAACAATATAATAAGTCAAAAATGCGGATAATTAAAATAATTAAATTGAATTTTACGTAATGTCATAGAAGCCAATTAAATTTTTTTTTTTTAAAAAAAAATAAAAATTTATCTAGAAAGGTAATTATAATAAAAATCTTGAATTCATATATTTAATTAATTAGAAGTATTTCTCGTTTTTATAAGGTCACACGATATGTATACAGAAACTAAAAATTCGCGCGAAGTATCAAATAATTCTTGTGATAAAAAAAATGAATGTAATAAAAATTTAAAAGGAAATAATCGGGATAATTTGCCTATGAAGAAACCTAAAAATAATCATTCCACTAAAAAATATACGAAAAAAGGAGGAATTCTTGATCTTAATAAGTATCTTGGAGAAAAAGTTTTAGTTAAATTTCATGGTGGTCGTGAAGGTAAAAATTCAAAATATTGTTAAAATATGATTCGTTTTAATTAAATTTGTAGTGGAATACGTGTATTTCTTTAATCCGCGTATATTTGTGACTTTGTGTTATATTTATTTTTTTTACGAATTTGATCTCGAGAAATAGCAATGGGTATTTTAAGAGGATTCGACGCCTTGTTTAACCTTGTACTTGATAATGTGGATGAACGACTTAGAGGTATTATTATATTGTTGTAATTAGTCGATTTCTTATTTAAAATTATCAAGTTTCTTTTTTAGATCGCGAGGACTGGCATCTTTTAAATGAAACTAGATCACTTGGATTACTCGTCTGTCGTGGGACGACTGTGATTCTTATTTCACCAGCTGAAGGAATGAAAGAAATTTCTAACCCATTCTTGAAAGATGATTCAGTACAAGCCGATGATAATAATAACGATGTCAAAGAAGAATAATATTTGTCTTCATCGTTGACAAGATGGTATTGAAAAAATTATTGCATCTTCAGAAAAAGGTAATCTATAAACATTGCTGGTAAAATTTAAAAAATTATAACGTCTGCTATTTTAACAGAAAGAATCTTTTTAAGCTTATAAGAACACCTAAACATGAAAATTTTGTATTTCTATACTTAATATAAGTAACTATTATCATCTACTTTTTAGAATTTAAATGCATTTTTTTAGTTCATTATAATAATATCCAATTTTCAATTCATTAATTGGTTCAAATGCTTTTCTCTTATTTATCAATTCCTACTTCTAATTCATGTAATGAATTTAAATTATATTGCTAGGTGTGTTTTACTTTTTCCTACTTTGTATAATTTTAATTTAAATTCATTAATCTCAGTTCCAGTTCCATTTAATAATAATATCTCAAGCCGAAATTATACAGCTAATTCTTTAATTAATATTTTGAAAGAAATATTTCATTACATTTCACAATATTAATTATAATTTATCTAAGAAGAGTTATCATAATATTTGGTATTCTTTTTCAGTAATAAATACTCTCAAACTTAATAAATTTTATTTCCATATCTTATAAAAATTTTATAGTAAATAAAAAAAAATTAAATCTATAATTCTAAATATATAACATAAAAAGCCACCATAAAAATGTAAGTATCATAATAAAAAAAAATGAAATCTACATATATACTCTTATTAATCTATAAGTCTGACAAAAAACTAATATAAATCATTCTCTTCATCTAGATGTGTATAAGAGACAGATATATCAGTGAGTATAAATTTAAAAACTTCGAAAAATATATAAATAAATGTATACTTTACATGTTCCTTAAAATTATCGATAGCTCCAAAATCCTTTTTAATCCTTTCATTTAAATCCATAATATCAACTTCTTTACTGGAATTTTTTTTTGTCTACATAGATAAAAATATATCAATCATAAATTAATTAAATAAAATTATATTAATCATTCAATCATTTCAAATTTCAAAAGTAAAAAAAAAAAATAATT